AACTCCCTTATATACCCCTAGTGACCTTATCACCTAGTGACGTTATCACTAAGTAATATTATCACATTTTGCCAGTTTACNTTTATTTACCTTTAATATTTTTTTAATTTTGGTCTCAGCATCCTTTTCTAGTCTTACATCATCACCATCACCTTTATGTTTAAAAATTAATGGAGGCCTTGGTGCTATGAATGGAAAAGGTGGCGGTGGTGGTGGTGGAATAAGGGCTGTAATAATTATTTTTTTTCATTGAGTTTAAGATCTGTAAAATGTTCTGATTTTTGCGTTTCCTTCAAGGCCTGTATTCTTATTTGATCCTTTCTATTTTTTTTTCTTGTTATAAAATGCCATAAAGTAATAAAACATCCACTCTTTTTGTCTTTTGATTGCATATTTAATAAAAAATAACAATCATAATAATACTGAGTTAATATAGTAGAAAATATTGTTTTTGTTATGATAATCAAAATAATTAACAGTAATGNAATAACAATTATAATAATACTGAGTTAATATAGTAGAAAATATTGTTTTTGTTATGATAATCAAAATAATTAACAGTAATGAATGTTTACTATGTAAAAATTACAATAACCCTAGTAATAAATAGTTTATTTTTACAATAGATTGAAATCTTGAGTAATATCCCTAATATGTAAGGACGTACATCCTAATAATGTAGTCGATCCTGGTTTGAGGGTAGTGACACGTGAGGCGAATATTATTTAACAACAACAGGTTATTAAAAAACAAACAAACCGAAATGACGAACACAATTAATAATAATCTTCGCATAATTTGGCGACAGTTTTACTGTCATGTTCCACGGGCATCAACAAGTTAGCAGTGTTGATGGTAATTGTGCGGATCGGTTCGTGCGGCACTTCCGGAGCCGGTGGTGTACATCTTGGAAGTTGTTATTTTTTAAGATATTATTTTATCCAAGTTAGATGAAATTGATATATATTTTTTTGACTCTTTAAATAATATATTATTTTACCCACCCTATTATCTAATATTAAAATTTTATCTAAATACTAAGGCAATTATTACTCGATTTTTTAAATTTTTGAAATTAAAATTTATAAATATTTAAGTAATTTTTTTTCATTTTTTATTCTTTTTTTTTTTTTTGTTCTTCAATTTTTTTTATGAACTTTTTTTCAACGTTGTTCTCGTTCGGAGTTTAGTTAGGGTAGGCGTGAGAATATCATTTGTTCTCACTACCTTCTAAAAAAAAAATCCCTCTGGTATAGTATACTAAAAATTCTTTTAGTCCAAATTTCTGAATATAATTAATAGTTTTATATAAACTTACTTTGATGTTCTTGCAGATGATACAGTCAATCTAGTAAATGGATAACAATGTCTAAGATGGCTTGTTATTTTGTTGATTCTTCTGCTGCAACCATTTGCAGAAAATTATTTCATATAATTTTTTTTTTTTGTTTTATTCGATTTTTTGATGGTGAATAATATTTTTTTCGCTGTTCTCGTTTTGTTTTCAATCTTCGTCTTTCTAATATTTGTTCAGCAGACAGACCGTATTCCGATTTCTTAAACTATTACAATCTGACAATCTCAATCTATCACTACCTTTGATGACTTGGGTTGTAATATTTTACTTGTTCGTTTAGTAACTTTTTTAAATTTAAAAATTTGACAGTTTTAGTGTGTTTCACATTATACACTTTGTTTTTATTCAATGGCTTGAGTTTACTACTAGTCTAATCCAAAATAATAAGTAGTTTAGGGTTTAGTTGGAGAAATAATACCATTACGGCTAATCACAGGAGGCCGAATTATTTGGAAATTTTGCTCTACTTTCTTTAATATTTTTTTTTTTATGAACCAATTGTTTTATTCCCTTGGTTGATGTCGATGTTATACTTCCTATTTGTTTTTTTAGATCTTTTTATTAAATCCCTTAATGAATTTTGTAGTTTTTCGGGGTCCAATATTTTAGGCACATAAATATTGTCATCATAAATAAAAAATTTTTCATCACCTATCGAGCTGTATTCATATAGTTAATATTGAGAATGAGTAAAGAAATCAGGAAAATTTTCTACTTGTTCATCAATAGCTGGTTTTTGACTCTTTCTATCTCTTTAAAATATTGTTTTAACCTCATTATCTGACTCAATAATGTTCATAAAAAACAGTGAAACCTCTGAGTTTGTAGAATAGCTTTGTGAAGGCTAGCGGAATATTAAAATTTAATAATCGAACGCTCAATATTTTTAAATTATTAATTTTACTTTTAATTTTTAACAATATTTAATATCAATACAATAACCAAAATAGTTTGATATACATTACTATTTAACACATATATATTCATTTTGTCATTAAAAATAATTTAAAAATCTAGGAGCCTGTCGCCATCGTTATGACGGTGGAACTTACACCAATATGGGTATACAAAAGGCTATCCGGCTGTTATTGGGTAACAAAAAAAAAAAAAAAGAGGGTGAAAAATAATACATTTAACTCGTCAACAAGCATCGACTAAAAGAAACACTTAATAATGTCATCTCCTTATTATCAACTTACGTGTCTGTCGTTTTTTTTTTATTATTTTAATGGAATGGTAATTTCACAACCATTGTGATTAACGTAGTTTTTAAATTTTTGATATTTAACGGAAATGGCGTTACTTTGTACTTTTATTTTATAATTTTTAGACCGCGTTTGTCTTATCGGGAAGACTGCTTGAATAATGGCTAATAGTTGGCCAAGAGTGCTGGCTCCAATTGACAATGGATTTATTGCACTGGTAATTCATTTTTAATTGTTAAATAGAATTATTTGGTCAGTATATTGTATAAACAGTCGCCTATGTTGATGAAGATGCAGAAAAAAATAAATAGATATTTTCGATAATTTCACATGGGTAGCGGTTGAAGAGGTTGTCATAGGGGATACACGTTATCACCAAGATACGGAAGAGTGACGGTAGAAGCAGCTATAGTGGTATATCTTAAATGGTACACTATAAATACATTATACCGTATAATTATAGTTAATTAAAAATATTTTATTTTTTGACCCTGGGTACACAAAAACACTGTTGTAACTTGTGGTATTCAAATGGAAAATATTGATTACGTAAAATCTTTAAAGCAATTTGATATTTTCATAGGTATTTCAAAAGTTCTTACCTGTTTTCAAACTAAAGCATTTGAGGGATCATTAAAATAAAATGGATTTTTAAGAACAAAATAAAAACAATTTCAAAATATAACATAATTCGTTATTTTTATAATAAATATTATATATACTTATTTTATTCAATACAAATAACTTATATAATTAAACATCTAAAATAAAATTTTACTTTGTCGTTGACATCATATAATAGTGTAACTTTATTATATAATCTATCTCTTGTAAATAAGGTACAAGATTGCCTGTGCTCCTTTAGATAATTAAAACTCATTTAAGGAGATAGGTATAATATTTGGGGAGACGACGGGTATCTTCCGATTTTTATTCTTGACCAAGATCCTCAAGTACTAAACAAGCCCCTAACATTTGGTAAACTCTATATATAATTTTTCGTATCATAAGTACACTTTGTATGTTAAACACGCATGTTTCTTACTTTATGCATATCTCATATATTTATAACTTAACTGTCATACTTTAGTCTACCTGTATATAAAATAGTTAAGAACATTCTGTATATTAAACACTAACGTTTCTTACTTAACGTTTCTTTAATGACTATAAAATATATGGTTTTCATACAGATATCTATTAAAATAAACCATATAGATTATTACCAGAAATAAAATCTAGATATCCAACTAATAGATTGTTTTCCATATAAGCTTTTTCTCCATAGCCCATCATTTCAACATCAATTGCACCTGGTGGACTTGATGAGGATAGCGAAAAACATGATGTTCTTGAATAATAATGCATCTATAAATTTTCATTTAAAATATTATCCTAGAAGAAAGACAATTAACAAATTATACGATTTAGTGCAATTTTAATTAAAAATTTCCATATTCAATTAAACTCGTATCGTCGTCCATTTAGTGAATTAAACAAATGTCCTTTCTTTTTATTATTTGAATAATCCAAAATATAACCTTTTAATCAATAAGTCATGCAATGATAAGACATTGCAGTTTTATTCTTTCCAATGTTAGTTTAATCGGTTTTAGATTGAGATGCTAACTGGTAAAACTTCACAGTTATATTTTTTGTCATTACGTTAGTTTCCTCCTTTCAAGGTGGTTCAGATGCTATTTCGGTAGAGACAGCCCTTAAATTATCATCTTTAATCTTGTTACTCAATACAAATTTAACACACGTTGAAGTGGAGAAAGGCGTCTGGTGTTATGCGATCAGAAGATTGCAATAAAGCTGAAAGGTAAGTAGTTCTATAAGACTACAGTGAGACCAACAAAGATGTATGATTCAGAGTGTTAAGAGGTTGACAAAAAAATAGAGCAGATAATGATTATAGCAGAGACGAGAATACTTAGATAGATAATTGGAATGATTAGAAAAGATAGAATGACGAACATATAAAAAGGAGTATAGGTATAGAGTGAATAGTGGATAAGATGAGAGAAAATAGACTTAGATAGTTTGGTCATGTTATGAGAAGAGGAATCAGAAGCTGTAAAAACAGTTATGAAATGAATGTTGAGGGAATAAGAGGTAGAGGAAAACAAAAAAAAAGATGGAGAGATGTTATTGAATGCGATATAAGGACGGCTGATATGAGAGATCATATAAAATGAAGTTTAGAATAAAGGTGTCTAACCCAAAGTAGTTGGGATAAAGACAAGGAAAAGAAGAATTAAATTTTATTAAATAAATATTACTTTTTGAAAATATATTAATTAGTTGACTGTTCAATTAAACAATTACTTGGTTTTGTGTTTTGTAATAGACTCTTTTTGTAATAAACTCTGATTTGTACTAGTTTAATATGTTAAGTAGTTATGTTATAAGATTATTTATAGTACTCCAAAAAATTGTAAATATGAAGCTACATCTTTTTTCTTTCAAAAAAGACGTAGTTTTATTTATAAATATTTAAACATTTATTGTAGAATACAAAATATATTTTAATTAATTTTTTGATCAAAATATATAAATAATAAACATAATTTTTAAAAAATTTGTTTCACAGAACTAATAATTAATAAATATGTATAATTTTGAAAAGGTAACAAATAACAAAATTATAGAAATATGGAATGAAAATCTAGTAATATACTAATTTCCATATTTTAATTTATGATTCCCCATCAAATAAACAACTTCCATTTGTCTTGACTATTATGCTTTGTAAGTACTTGCAGACACATCTCCTCCAGTGCCTGTCCAATTGGTATGAATATATTTTCCAGGAGCAGTTAATAACTCATAAGTATGAGCTCCAAAATAGTCACGTTGGGCCTAAAAATTAAGTTTAGTAAATGATCAATTAATGAGAATAATTAGAAAATATTACTTGTAATAAATTGGCTGGAAGTCTTTCACTACGGTAACTATCATAGAATGCCAATGCAGTACTAAATGCTGGAGTTGGAATACCTAACATAGCACTTGAAGCAACTACTTTACGCCAAGCAGTTTGACACTTATGAACAGCGTCTTTAAAGAATGGATCAAGCAACAAGTTCTTTAAGTTAGGATCAGATTCAAATGCTTGCTTAATTTTCCCCAAAAATGCACTATATAATTTTGATTATTAATTATTAAAATGTCTTTGTAATTTTAAATAAGTAATACCTTCGAATAATACATCCTCCACGCCACATAAGAGCAATTCCACCATAATTGAGATTCCATCGATGAATTTTTGCGGCTTCACGCATTAACATGAATCCTTGAGCATATGATACAATTTTGGAAGCATAAAGCGCCTGAAAATCAATTTTAATATTTTTATTAAACAAATCAATTAACATAATTCATTAAATAAGACATGTAGCCAGAAAATTCTGTTATAGATTCAAAAATTCTGCATACTTGTACAATTTTCTTTCAACTCTTGAGTATTCACACTCACACTTGGTAATATCACCATTCATAATAACTAAAGAATGCATGATTCAATTCTTTTTTTTGCAAACAAGCTTTCCCATTTTAACTCTACAGTATATATATTTTTTTTCCATATATTCGGTTACTCTCACGTCTACTTGACCAAATTTACTAGATATGTCAAAAGAACATAAAATGTATCTAGTTGAAGCTATAAGCACCGTAATTTTAAAAAGTTCCTCCGGTCTCCATGACAAAGAGAAATGTATCAAAATTTATTACAGTTGTAATAAAACAATCAATGTTGATATGTTTAGTTTTCACTTAATATTAAAGTAACTTTTTAAAAATTGGACGAATTATCACCACATTTTTATTAATATTAATTTAAACATTTGCTTTGTTAATACATTTATTGAAAATTTAATCATTAACTAAGAAACTATGGGGATTCATAATTATACCAATCATTTTTATTTTCAGTTTTTGAATGTTACAAAAAACTTGTCTTAAACCTACATTAAATTAAAGCTAATACAATGTACTTAGAAATGAAAAAATAAAAACTATCCAAAATCTCCATTTCTAGGAGTTATTTGGCATTAAAACCCAAAGTAAAAATGATAGACTTTGAAGTGTTTTGCATAGCAACGAAACATCTTCATTGTTGAATACTAGATGAAATTTAAGACTTTTTGTTTATTATACAAAAAAAAAAAAGACAATAAAACGACTGTCTTTTATGAGTATTCAGCCTATAAAATCAAAAAACCTCTTAGTCGGTATGTTAAATTTTTTTCAAATACGAATTTAAGGGTTTTTGCCAGTAATTTTAATCATTATAAGATATCAATAAATATTAATCTAAAAATGTATCAACACCAATTTGCTGGATCTCTACTATATTTTACTTTTTAATTTTAGTAGAAAGGAATTCTAAAAATGAAATTACATTTAATACAAGACAAAAACTATTTTTGAAACTAGATTTTAGTAGACATAAAGTGATAACTACCAATTATAACAGTAATATTGAATTCTGTTTTTTTTTTTTTACCATAACAAAAACTCAACATTGACATTTATGGAAATAAGATGATTTGTAAAGAACTCCTCATCTATTTTTACAGATAATATTTTCTACAAGTTTAAAAATTAAAAATGCCATCATAATAATCCTAATGAATTTACTTCTATGTGCAAACCTAAGCCGGTTTTTAATACTTAAGAAAAATAATCATACTAAAAATATGATTATTTAGCAAAGTTTAGCCATAGAATAGAAGAAATTAGCCAGAGGTTTTAAAGCTACGTGCCTATACTATTTAAGTATTTATACCTGTCCTATGTCTTTTAAAAATTCCTTTTTATCGCCCTTGTATGTTTCTTTAGGACCTTGTAGAACTTTGCTAGCTTGTAACCTCTCATCTATTAAAGAGGATAAGCATCGAGCAAATACAGATTCTCCAATGAGCGTAACAGGTACGCCATAATCTAAAGCTGAAATTGCTGTCCATTTACCAGTTCCTTTTTGTCCAGCTGCATCGCGAATTTTTTCAACTAAATATTCTCCGTCTTTATCTTGATACTGCAAAATATTTCTTGTAATTTCTATTAAAAATGAATCTAAATCACCTTTATTCCATTCATCGAATGCAAGGCTCATTTCTTTTGGACTCATATTTAAAGCAGACTTCATTAAATGGTAAGCTTCGCAAATAAGCTGCATATCACCATATTCAATTCCATTATGAACCATTTTGACAAAATGACCAGCACCATCTTCTCCAACCCAATCACAGCACGGTTCTCCATCAGTTTTAGCTGCTATATTCTAAAAAATAATATTCATTATAAACCCAGTTAAAACATAATTAGTAAAATAAAATTAGGGTTATTTTAATAATTGAAAATATTAGCAAATGTCTAATTCAAGGTTTTGTAAAAAATATCTTGAATTTTAACCCTAATTATTAATTTAGGATACTAATTGACAATTTTATTTTACAAGGTAAGATACATGTACCGATTCAATAAAATCATTAATTTATCTAAATAATAATTTAGATTAACTAAGGTCATCATTGACTTAAATAGAATTTTCAGTAATTACACATAAGACTACAGAAACTTTCTTTAGTTTTTGCTAAATTACAATATGTATATTTTTATTATGATTAACATAAGTTATTTCATTTAAGGTTTATAACCATTTAATAACATTGCGAATAGGAAAAAATCAATTACTTTTAAAAATAATATTTTAAAATATTTGATATAAAAAAAAAAAGAATCATGAGATATACTTAATACTTCTTCTTTTTTCTTATCTTTATAAAAAACATTACTTTATGAAAATTCTTGTTAGCATGTAAAAATCTGATGACCCTATGTCATATCTTATTTTTTTACCAATATCACTAAAAATTTAACTAAAAGAAATCTATCATAGTATTTTTTATCAACTTTTTAAAATATACTGTAATTTAACATACTTGAAAAATACTTTTTATGTGTGGCCATGCTTTTGGATTACCACCAGGCATAAGAGATGGACCATAACGAGCACCTTCTTCACCTCCAGAAACACCAGAACCAACAAATAATATGCCTTTTTCAGCTAGACTTTTAGTACGTCTTTGAGTATCTTGATACTCTGAGTTACCGCCATCAATTATTATGTCACCTTGTTCCAAATAAGGTAAAAGTTGAGCAATAAAGTCATCAACAGCACTTCCAGCTAAAAAACAAAATACTTTATTTTTATTGAAATATATTTTAATATACCTGTGATTGTGATTTATATCTAAAACAACCAATAAAATTAAGTAAAAAAAAATATAAATAAATTTTTTCTATTAGTAAAATTATTTTATTCTGTAAATAAAATCAAATAATTTTGTTAGGATATTAAAAATATACATGAATTAAAAAATATTTTTGTTATATTAAAAATATAATTTAAATTTGCATAAATCATGGTTGTTATAAAATATATTTTATATATTAAGTTTAGTTGGCAACATTGAATGATATGTAGATATGTTATAGATAAGAAACTCTAACAGTAACACACTTTTATAAATTTAAAATCATTTATCATGCTTCTAATTAGTCATTTTTTTAAACAGTTTGCTTATGAATAATGCATGTATTCTATCTTTATAATATTAGTGTCTATGTAGTAATATTAGTGAGTAATATTTTTTAATTAATCATACAACACATCATATATTTCTTAATCAAGAAAATAATATTAAATATGGATACAAATATTAAATTTAATTCCAAAACAGAAGAAAATAACATATTACCAATAGAAAAATCAATAGAAATTCCAAAAAATATGCCATCATTTATAGAGCGATATTTTGAATGTCGCTATGCAATAAATGTTAATGGAAAGTTAAATCAAGATTATCGCGTACTTATTCATTCTAATAACTTATTTATCTTAACAATAGCTCCTTCTCATATATTAATGGGCAATGTTATTGAAAAAATAGACTTTCAAGTTTCAGATAACACAGATAGGTCAAAAAATAAAATGTCTGGTAAAGGTAAACGAGGTGCACAAGTTGTACAAGCTGGTTCAACATTATTTAAGGTAACATGCTCTAACAAAGAAGAATATAAAATATTATCACCAGTTCCAGGAAAGTTAGTTGAAATTAATGCCAAATTATCAGACAATCCAAATCTCATGTTATTAAACTCTGACTGCCTTGGATTTATAGCAGTAGTAATTCCACAAAAACAAAGATTTGAGAAAATTAAAAATGATCTATTAACTCAAGATCAATATCATGAATCAATAAGTTCTAATACTGAATAATTAAAAAATAAAGATATGTATTAATTATTAATTGTTGTAAATTTCTGATTATATAAGATATATTTAGACTGCATAAAAATGCTTTAATTATTATTGTTAGTATAGTTATTTTAAGTACTTATTTTAATTCATTTAAAATATCATATTTTTGAAAAATAATATAAATTTCAGTTAAAAATTATTTTTTTATAACAATTATCACTAAATCTACAAATAAATTTCAAATTAAAATATTTAATTCCTATATTAAAAACATGCAATTATTACTGATTATAAACATATAAAAAAAAATATATAAGTACCTTTAACTAACATCATGACACGACGAGGTTTCTTTAGAGAATCAACCAACTCTTTCAATGAATGGGCACCAACAATATTAGTACCCTTTGCCCCTTTACTTAAAAATTCATCCACTTTTTCAATTGTTCGATTATAAGCAGTCACAATAAATCCATGATCATTCATGTTTAAAATCAAGTTTTGACCCATGACAGCCAAGCCAATCAATCCAATATCAGATCTATTGATGCACATTTTCATTAAATTTGGAAAAAATTAGTTCAATAATTTTACTTACTTTCCACTCATTATTATGTTTTTATCAACTTATGTGTGTACTAGCACGATCAATAGGTGAATGGGTGGACAGTGATCTTAAGATATTATGCATAAACCAGATCAAGGTTTTAAAATGAAAATGAAGGTTACCTTCTAATAGCTATAGCCGTAGGACAGGTTTTTTGGTTTATTTGCCCGACGAATGCGCACAACGGATATTACAAATTTGACCTTAGCCCTGTGTTCAATAGCAAACCTCGGTCGATTATTATCTAAATGTTTCTACTTCCACTATGTACCTGCAATAATTTTATCCAAAGGCGGTAACAAGGCACCTATAATACAGAACTGAATTACAATACCTTGGAAATATAAAACAGTAGTGTGACGTTAGTGAAAGTGAAATTATCGGCATCAGTGAGCCACGTTATAGATAATGCTATCTATCACGTAATCATTAAAAATGTGAAAATTCGTGGAGTTATTCTGTAGTTATTAGTATATGATAACCAAAACATTGTTTTATGTCATATTACATATGTAATAACAACCGACATCTAAATTAGTGTTAGGAATAAAATAAAATAAGAATTGTTTGGAAAACATTAAATATATTGTTTAATAAAAAAAACATAAATCGTAAAATCAGGAACATAATTTCGTTGGTTGACTTCTCGCTGCAAAACTTATGGATTTGCTTAGAACATAAAGAATTGGTTAGAGAATAAAGATGTTAACTGACATTTTGTAGTCTTTGTGGAAATATATCCAAATTATAGCTTATGATAAAGCATCTCTAGACAAATATTTTCCTTTTTATAAGTTATTTCTTATATTAAATAAGTTCTACAGATTTTTAATATTTAGTTAAAAGATAACATTCCTAAACAATTTTTAAAATGTTAGTTAGCAAAAATAATCTCAACGTAAGAAAAAGCAATTCAAAGTATGGCAGAAGAGCAAAAGGAGAGAAGACTGGATGGAGTATAAACGATTGTGCAAAGAATCCAAGTGTGTAGTAAGTGAGGCGAAATTTAAGAGGTATGATGAGTTGTATGATATGTTAGGAACAAAGGAAGGCGAGAAAGAAATCTATAGACTTGCAGAAGTATGAGAGAAAAGGTCTAAAGATTATTATTATATAAGGTGTATAAAAAGTGTTGATAATAAGGTACTATCGAGTGATGATGATGTGAAAAAAAGGTGGAAAGAGTATTTTGAAAAATTATTGAATGAGGAGTACCCAAAAGAGATATTAGAGGATATCTCGTGGAATGAGAGGCTGGTAGATTTAATAAGTGAGAAAGAGGTATGGGAGGTTGTGGCATCAATGAAAAGAAATAAAGCAATATGACCAGATGAAGTACCAGTAGAAGTATGGAAAATATTAGGCGGTGTTGGCATAAGGTGGTTGAAGGAACTTTTAAATAAAATCTTATTAGAAGGGAAAATACCAAATGAATGGAGGAATAGTATTGTAGTGCCGATATTTAAATGTAAAGGAGACATACAGGAGTGTGGAAATTATAGAGGCATAAAGCTTATGAGTCATAGTATGAAAATTTGGGAAAAGGTGTTGAGCTGTTGTTAGGAAAGTAGAGAAGAGATGAGAATGCTTAGATGGATGAGTGGAGTGACTAAAAAAGATAGAATAAGGAACAAACATATAAGAGGGAGTATAGGTGTAGCGTCAATCGTGGATAAGATGAGAGAAAATAGACATATGGTTTGATCATGTTATGAGAAGAAAACAATCGGAAGCTTAAGATCAATTATAGAAATGAATGTTGAAGGAAGAAGAGGTAGAGGAAGACCAAAAAAGAGATGGAGGGATGCTATTGAATGCAATTTGAGGACAGCAAATGTGAGCGTAGATGATGTAGAAGATCGAGTCAAGTGGAAGTTTAGCATAAGTGTGGCCGACCCCAAGTAGTTGGGATAAGGCGAGGAAGAGCAAAAATAATCTCAACATTTTTACTATCCTATATGATATCATAGAAGTACTTGTAGGCCATAAATTATTTTAAATCACGACTGGGGTATAATCATGGGCACAAATAAAAAGGGTAGGCTGACTTAGTGACTCGATCTATTAAACTAAAAAATATTCAGATGATTATAAAAATATATTTGCTGGAAAAACATGTATCGAACTGCAAGTTTTCTTCTATTTACAGCTACGATTAAAATTACAATCAATGGTAAACTTTAAGTATCGAATATATACAACGTTGATTAGGGTATGCTTCAGGACTGGAGCCTCCTAACATCTATGACTTTTAGTTGACGATAATGGTAATATAATAATTATATTACCATTATCATAAACAATTATTGTTGATCGAAATTTATCTTGATGTTTTAACCAATATCAAGTTGAAAACAGTTTTTATTTTTTGCAGTAATTTTATGAAAATATGGAGAAAAAATTTTCTTTTATAATTATAAATAATTCATAACCATGATTTTACGAATCAGTGAAGGTCAATCGAAATTTAAAGATGAAAATTATGAACATGAGTCATGTAACACAAAAGTAAACGTGAAATATAAATAAGAGTAAATAAAATTAAATGACCGCGTATTGAAAAAACTAAGGTTGTGTGATAGTTAAGGTCACGATCACTAATAAGGAGGAAGTGTTTTAAAAAATAAAAAGTTTAAGAACTTTTGTTCAAATTTGTAACTCTCAACCAAGTTAATAAAGTTGGACAATATCGATAATATTCAGAGTGAAAAAGTAGAATGTCTAGTTCCGCTAGTCTTACAACATATAATATTACTTAGGGGACACAAACCTATTTTATTAGTAAAAAAATATTTTACTTTTTATTAATCAGTTATAAAGAAGATCCCTCCAAAAAATTATAGGAAATTGATCACGCAATAAATTCCAGATATGCATCAGATTTCTTTCAATCAAATTTTAAAATAAAAAAAATGTATTAGCAATTAAAATTTTTTAGTACTCACATTCAACACTTCATTTATACCATAACAGTCTTGAAAGAGCACTTTCCCAGTTTCTTATTATTGAGATCCCAATGCAAAAAAGTCACTAGAGGTGATTTGTTAATTAGTTTAGGTATACATTTATAACTTGTTCAAAGTTTTGCAAATTATGTAGTCTAAAGTTATTATACTATATCATTATATAATATAATGTAATTATGCCTTTAGTATAAAATATATGGTTATAGTTAATAATACATAATAAATAAAGTATTGAAAGAATATAGAGTATATTCTATACAATATAAAAATATTGATATAAATAAAAAGTTATAAACTGTGTAATTATTTTACTTTAATTTCGCAAATTATAACTAACTTTAAAAACAAATTGTTTTGTTTTGATTTACTACTAGTATGAAATTTGGTAACATGTGTAGTTTGTTTCATAATAAAAGTCAAATAATAATAATAATAATAATAATAAATAATAGTACAAAGTAAATTTAAAAATTAAAAATTTTATAAAGAAAAGTTAAATACTGTACACATAAATGACAAGTATATATTAGATTTTTGTCACATTTTATATCAAAATTAAACTATTCGACGAGAATAAAATATAAAAGTAAATATATACTCTTATTACTATTTTTACCCAATTGTTAATATTAGAATGGGTAATTAAAAGTAATTATAGATAATAGTGGTAGATAAAATAAACTACTAATAAGGGTTAAATTAAAAAATTCTAAAAATTTTATAATTTGTCAAGCAAAAATTGAATGTTAAATCAATTACAAAAACAACACAAGAAAAAAAATTATTTATAAAACACAAAGAATAACATTATTTACACAAAGAAAAAAATTAATAAAATTGTTTGATATCTTCGATTTAATAGAATTATAGAATAGTCAATTTCAAGGTTCTGCAGTAGATAACCATTTAGCTTTGGATTCAGGAATATACTCAACATTTGCATAATTATTAGTATCCTTATTTTCTTCAGCAAATGATACTAATTCTAAACTATCAGTAGGTTGAAAAAAAGCAGATGCTGATTCAATATCTATCACTACATGAGTTGATGGTTTAAACATATCACCATCAGTAGTACTAATATTAGACAAACAATTACTTTCTTGATCTATAACTAAATCCGTTACATTGCATACATTAAAACCTCCAATATGTCTATATTCCCGGTCACATTCATCTTTTATGACTTCTGTAAGTACATAATTTTCTTCTGTTGAAATATCAGATTTTAGGTCTAATGTACTATCAGTTGGATTATTTATCTCAAAGCTAGTTGCAACTATTGGCAAAGAAGAATGATTATCAGGAATAGTATTAGTACTAATATTAGTCTCTAAACTAACATTGCTAATACAAATATTCCGAGTATTAACTTTTTTTGTAGATTTTTTTACAGCTCTTAAAATTTTTCTTTTCTTTGGAATTAGTTTCTAAATATTTTTATAAATTAATAAAAACAAAACACATGATTAATAAAATTTAAGTATCAATCAGTTATCTGATTTTTTACTCACTTTATCTGGGTGGTGTGTAGTACAAAGCATTCCATTCCCTAAGGGATCTTTAAAAATATTCCCTTTTATATGTTGAACACAAAACGATTCTATGCAGAATTTACATTTAGCAATTACTTTTCTAACCTTACAAGTAGAGCAAAAATGAGATGGACAAGTAAAACCTGCTAAAATAATAATTTATACATAAACAACTATAAACTTATAAGCAATGAGAGTAATTTAACAAAAAAAATTATTTAAAGTATGTAGACCTATTATATTTTATACTATAGGATAAGGTAAAATAAATTTTAAAAAATCACTTTTTTTGGCAAAATAATCATTTTTTGTTAAAAAAAATATAAATGAAAAAATAGATAACTATTAATAACTTGTTTTATACTTTATTTAAATGGCATATTCAATGAAACTTAACTCACATTTTCCTACTTTTGATTTATTCATACAGCTAAGATGAAAGACTCTTGAACATTTCTTATTTTTGCATATTAATTCTGAACGACCTTTTCCACATATTAAACAGTTATCATTTATATAAACATTTTTATTAACTACTTTGTTCATTTTATCATGTGCCAACATTTTTTTGGTACATTGAATTTTTTTATGTTTATTATTTTTACTTTGTATGGTGACAATATTTACTGCACTATTTTTTTCATTTTTCAAGATTTTCTTTGTCAAAATTGTCTTTTTTTTCATGTTGTTATCATCAGTTGTACTCTAAAAAATTTTTAATTATTTAATTAATTATACTCTATTGCTAATAATTTATAATATAATGTATTTTATACACCACAACCAAATAAAGATTTAATAAAAATTCCAAAATTTGAAACAGGTTACCAATTTTTTCTAAGATCTGTTAGAACCCATTTTTTTTAATCAAGTAGTTCCCAGTTATTTTTGTCTTAGAAAAAATACCTTTTACTAATTTGCCAATTGAGGAAAAATTTAGTTTTTACCATAACCAACAAACCCTATTTTTAAAGATTATAATCCTAAAATTTCATATATTTTATCATTATTATATGTTTTCAAAGAAAATGTATTTCAAATCTTATTTTAAATTAGAAATTACAAATTTTACCCCTAATTTGAAATTAGAACAGAACATTTTTTTCTTAATCAATAATCTAATAAAATAACAATTATAGTATTAAAAATAATTTTTTCAAAATACTTTGGACAAAAATGAATGCCTGCTTTTTGCTAATCTAGTTAAACTATGCCTAGATCCAGTTTTTAATTCTGACGTTTTGGCTATATTTAGCTCATCTTCCTAAAAATAAAAAATATATGTTAAATTCAGTTTAATATTATTAAAAAAATTTTGGTAAAATTCAAGTGATTAAAATTTTAAGATAAATGAATATTTTTTAAAATTGAATTGGTAATCAAGATTATTTTGATTTTTATAATTATTCTTTATTCATAAGTAAAATGTGTAAATTTATGCTTAAAGACCCTTAAAAAAACTAATACTTTAACTTGAATGACTTCTTAACCCCTTAATTTTGTCTACACAGAATTTATTAAATTTAATAGGATAATTTTAGATTATTTTATCACAAATAAAATAATTTTTCTTTTATTTGCCAAAATTGTGAGCAAATTTACAACTGATCTACTGATATTAATGACATTTATGTCTGTAATTTGGTTATCTATACAATGCTCTTTAAATTGTATTAGTTACATATTACGTAATTAATAAAATTAAAATAGTAATAAAGTGACTTGTGCCCTTTTTGTTAAAAAATATTCATTTATATATAAGTTAACTTTCAATTTACCTTTACACAAATTATTTTAAATGTGTTACTAACTTATTTCTATTGATTATTAGATAAACCATTTGAAACAATATCTTTTTAAAATTCATATTTATGATTTACCGTCACCTCTACCACAAACAATAACATTTAAGAGATAATGTTAAATTTAAGTAGCATGATAATAATAACACTAACAGTAATAATGTATAATTAATAAAATAGCTTATATGTTAAAATATACAATGATTAGACAAAACATAATAAATACTGGAAATTTATATTGCAATTATTAATATTTTAGTTATACAAGTCTAAATACTACATAGACAGAGAGAGTAAAAAATCATAACTCAGTATTAGTTATATCAAAATTTAATGAGTAAAAATAAATATTTTTTTCATAGCTAAATAAAATAATCTAGTTACTTTCTGGTACTTAAAATGAGCTTCTTTATCTATATTTAAATTTTTATCCTGAGATGTTCTTATTTTAATCATTATTTCATCTTTTTTTTGTTTTGTAACAACTTGTTTGTCATTGTACTAGATATAATTATAAAAATAATCTTTTTAATTTTTTTTATATAAAAACTGACAAAAGTAAACCTTATTATTTTTATGGCCGTGTTCAAAATTTGAGAATTCTTTTACATTAAATATTTTTGATGGAGAATTCTTAACAATTTCAACATTACATAATCCAGTATCATTTTCTGCAGTAATTAAGATTTTGGAACTCTGAATTTTCACTTTATTTCTTGATAAAATGTTTTTATCAGTATCTAATAAAGTGGTCTAGAATAAAAGAAAAATAATAAATATTAGAAGACAACATAACCGAAATTTATATATAATATGTTATAGTTTTATTTTTAAAAATAAAGTCAAGTTAAAAAATTTTACAAAAGTAAAGAAATTTTTCACTCTTCTAAGTAATTAAATTAAAAGATACAAACATAAACTAGTCCTATACTTACGTTTGACTCTAGTAAACTACTTCTCAGTGTTCTTGTTGATATATGATTCTTTGTTTCTGTTGAAGGAACATCCTAAACAAAAACATTATTTTTAATTATAAAAATTGTTTTAATATTTTTGTTTTTGAAATAATAGATCAATAATATAAACAATAGATAATGTTGAAAATGAATATTACAGCAAGAAATGTAGTAATATATACATTAATTAAATGTTTAGTTTTCTATTATAACCCACAATTATTTCTAAGTAAAATCTATAATTAATTAAAGATATTTTAATTATTTAAAAATCTAATAATTAATTATTAATTATTATTATCTTCGTTTTAAATTGGAGTATTATTTCCTGTAAAGATTATTTTTGTTATTATTTCATTTCACATTACATTTTCTTTAACTCTTAATATCATAAAAAATGATTAAAATTCGATGTTTTTTAATAGATTCTCATCAGTTGCAATTTACCCAAATACTTATATTTTCTAAATAAACATAACATAACTTATTAAAAAATGTTTGCCAATAGTACATTTATTTATTATTTAAAACGAGGTTCATTGACATTATTATGGAGAGGAGTTAGGGTGTTATTTTACTCACAATAGGGAATAATTATTTAAAAGATTTGTATTAATAAAATAAAAATACTATGAAGATTTTTGTTATGTATAACCTACTCGTGGTCGTATTTATTTTAAATTAGAAATTTTTTCTTCAAGTTTAAGAAATTGAGGTGTTTAGCCTAAAATATTACTATTTTTTCCATTAATTCCACCAAACCATCCCTCACCAACACTTCAAACTTTTCCATTGCGCATCTACTATAAGGTAAGGTCAAGAATTGTTACAGCTGATATGTGATAACCGTAATATCAGGTTTTACGTTACGAAATATAAATGTACTTTCACTAAAAAAAAACTTTCACTTATATTTTTATTTTGAGCAACTATACCATTGGGACTAATTTTATAATTAAGAAGTCATATTTCAAAAGAATATCAAATCATTACTAAATTAATTAATTATTAAAACAACGCTAAATACTTTTGATAGACGATGAATAATATAAGAAAAAATATATAAATGATACTCTATTCCATAATAAGTAATAAATAATCAAAATTGAATTCCTCCACCTTTTAGAAAATTATTTGAAAAATACCTGGATAGATTACACTTACCCTTTAATTAATATCTCCAACAAGAATATGATTAATCATTAATTGAATCCTTTGTAGACAAATACAGGTACTAACTACATCAGCTTACCTTGGTGCGATACAAAAAAACATCGTGGAATAAAAAAATTAAGCCCAAAAGGATAAAAAAAAATATTAGTACAGTGTTAATTAAAAATATAACCAAAATCAAAGCTCTTGTTGAATATTACAATAGATCTTATTTTCAGAAACTAATTCATTATTTTCAAATACATAAATATACTGAAAAAATTACATTAATAATAATTTTTTATTTGCAAATAAAGTTGTATAAGTAAAAAGAATTTATAAAACATGTATAAACAATATATGAAGAATTTTATGTATTGAGCGTATTGGAGAGAACATACATTTATAAAAGTATGTTTAGTAAAAACACAAGTGTTCGAACGTAAAACGACTTATAGATATAAATATGTGTAAATATACTTAAAAGTTTAGAAATATAGTACATACACAAAATGAAAAAATATATAGTTTAGCTTTGATAAATATGAGCAAATAACTGTTATATCAGAAATGTATTTAATAAAATGCACGTAAAATAAATGGAAGGAGGTAGTTGCACAATAATTGCAGAGCATTACAGTCGCCTGGAAAAAGAAGAGGATATACTACATTCATGAATTACAGTTAATTATATTTTATAATTAGTTTTTGATAACTAACTGAAATAGAATAAATGAAGCTTTTTATTATTGAAGGATTTAAGAAAAAAATATGACAACGCATAGATATTAATCGCTCTATAAAATAAATAGTATTCATTTTATTCAACTGTGAGGGAAAAATATTGTTTACATACAACTAAAATAAATTTTGAAAATTTAATTAGATTTATACAAGTTAACAAAAAAATTACTTTTATCGAGGCTATACTTAAATTCAATTTTTTCTTTGAAACTAATATTTTTATAACGTGACTTATTCATCAAGTCATTAAAAATAAACTACTATTATAATTAAAAAAAACTGCCTTTAATATATTACAGTACTATAAACATTTCCGTAAGTACCATGATTCAGCATTGATAATTTTAAATCTCAAATTATGAATCTATTAAATTTGATGAAATAATCAAGAGCAAAAATTTCGTATAAAATTTAAAAAGTGGTAAAAATATCCTACTTTAAATAGCTTTAAAAAAATTTTGTTCGCCTCGTTTAGACTAAAAATTAACTTTAATAAGAAAAAATATATATTCAGCTATTAAAAATCATAGTTAATAAAACATTTCAATAGAAAGTATTCTATTTTTTATTATTGGAATTATAGTCAAATAATGTAAAGATAAAAAACATACATTTACTAACGAGAAACAATACCTTTATTAAAATAATTTTATTAAGAAAGTTGCTCTTTTTATGATTAATTACCGTTAAATGGACCAACTCAGGATAGTTAAATATTTTACAGATATCATCATATAATTTTTGCGAACATATATTTTGTTATTCTTAAAAATACTTGTAAATATTTTACTAGGGCTGTGATTTATACGACTAAAATGATAACATATTTTTAATAGTTGAATAACTCTGTCCCAAATTTAACCACCACCTCAAGTTGGGACTACTTGACGGTATTTTTAATAGTAGACACATTGAACTTTTGTGTAATTAAAAAAACCCAAATATAACCAACAAATATAGGATGTTGTAGAATGGAAATAAAAATTAATACTTTAAAAAAGCAATAGAATACCATTTTATAAATGAATATATAATGTGTGTGTTTTTTTAAGAAAATAAAAATTATTAATAAGATATATATTAAAATATGATAAACTTGTACTTAGAGTTATGACAATATGATAAACATTAAGCTAAAATATAATTTCATTAAATTTGTGGTATATTTAAAAAATGTTTAATAAAGTTACCTAAAAAAACTATAATTAACTATAGTATAGATAAAAATATCAGCATCCACTCCTCACCTCTAATTACTTTAAATTATTAATAACTTTTGAAATACTATTCCAAAAGTTGTTCATTTAATTAATTAGATCATATTCTAATTTATAAGCTAGTTAAATTCATATGTTGCCATTTAAAAAAATTAAGTTGACACCATTATAAGTAAAAAGAGATGATTCTTAATAGTAATTAATGCCTGATAAATCAAGAAATATTTTGTAACTAAAAAAATCAAAAAAGATTTCTTTAATATTGTATTTATATATGGAGATATTCACATATTAATTATAATTAAGGGGGACTATGATAAACGGATCACTCTGTATTTTTTTACTAAGTTAAGCAATTTTAACTCATTGACGGACATTTATAATTTTGGTAATAATTTTAAAGTAATGTCTCAGTTGCATTCCTCTATCATATGGTACTATAAAAATATTACTGTTATAGTTGTAATGCCTTTACATGAATTTTTTCGTACTACTGTTAATAATAATAATTTGATTGTGATAATCATATTTTTTTATATAACTATAAATTGTTTTTTATAATCTAAAATATTTAACTATAAACATTCTAATAAAAAATTTAATATGTATTACTTGTATATGTTTGATACATTTATATTTCAAAATAGTTTTAAGAAATGAGATATAAAACATCAATTAAATACAATTCCACCATAAAAGCTATATTAAAGGAAATAGTTGTATATATTTACATTTTTAAATTATGTATGTAGTTTTCAACGTTTAAACAGATGGAGGTAATATTTATAAAGTAGGACGATATCAGTTATATTATTTATTTTTGATATTGATATTTAGTTTCATAATGATTTAAAAAATAAAATCAATAGTTATTAAATAAAAATATCAATAAATTCCGTTATAACAATTTTTAACAAAAATACATTAATATTTAAAATTATTTTTGAGTAACTGTTTAAAAAGTGATATCATGGATTTCCCCTTCTCAATTTATGGTAAAATACTTTTACTAAATTAAGTGTTATACATCTTAATTAGCAAATAAAAACCAATAAAATAAATTTCGTTAATTGTACAAACTATTTTTTGCATTCATTACAGTGTATAATTATACCTATGTATGTGTTTTATGGTCAAGCAGAATTTATGATATACAATGACTAGACATTGAAATTTTTCAATGTATTATAAGGGTAATATTTATTATATTCTCATTTGCAGTAGTATTTAACATTTACTGTAATAGTTATATACTATTATGGTAGTAGCAGAGCAATATTTATATTTTATGAAAACTTTTTTTTTCATACTAAATTAAACAATAAAAAAACCTTATATCTACATTGTAAAATGTTAATTTAGCAATAGATTAACCTGACAAAGTAATAAAAATAAGTGTTTATTTAATATTTTATAATGACTGTAATACACATACATATAGGACTACATTTAAAGGGGTATTCGATTAATAAAGTATTTAGGTCAGAAGTTAAGAGGTAGTATTTGAAGAAATGCTTGATATTACCACAGGAAAATATAAAATTTGTAATTTGAAAGTATCAAATCTATAACATTATAGATTTTGAAAATATGACCAATATAGCTCATAGACTTACATATGACCCAGTGCAGACACAAGAGACTATTTTTATAAAAATAATACTAGTTTTTGGAGAGCTATTGCTCCTATAGTATTTCTGTACATATGACACACCTAATTTAAGAGGGATACTTTGACCCCTTTTTCTCTATGTGCCTTAAAAATATATATTAGTATTAAATAAGTAAATATTTTTTTGAATAATTTATTTTTATAAATTAAAAATACTAAATAGTTATTTTCATTTGTTCTATATAGAACACATTTTATTATTATATTTGTTGACAATTATTTTTTAACTATTTTATCTTATTTTATAAAATTTAATTTAAAAATAGATTGATATTTTACTATTAAATAACTTTGAGAATTATAATACTTTGCATTTTAGCTGTCACCTTAAATGCACCATTTGCCCAAATAGAATTACAGGTGTTCATTTTTTTTTAGTAGCTGATAAGCTATATATTTTACAACTGGTGTTATTTAGCAATCCAGACAATTTTTAAAAATATTATAAGCTATTTATTTTATATTACACCAAACCTCAAATGTCATTTATCATTCCCAAGTGAGTTTAAAGCAGGTTATAATTATATAGTACACCAAAAATAAACTATACCAAATCACATTTTTTTTTCTATTGAAAATGAAGTGGTTCTATTTTTGAAAAGCTTATTAAACAAGCATTCCAAATGTAGTCTCAACTTATTTTTGAAAAAATTGACTAGGGATGGCTTACCTCTGGTATACAGATATATATATATATAGGTGACAATTAAGTTAGATATATTTTTATGCAAAGCATATTTATATATATATTATTATTTAAATTACTTTCAATAATCTGACACTTAATATTTTAGTTAAAATATAAGTGTATATAACACCAAATATAAAGTTTGTTATTTTAATAACTAAGTATTTATTGATAAAATAAAACATTAATATTTATTATCTATTATTTCAAATATATGAAGTGATAACATTTTATCAATAAATACTTTCTTATTTAGTACTGTTTTTATTATGATCCTTTTACAGTTTACTATGTTTTTGAAGTATATAATAAGAAATTTTTTCAATGATGAAATATCAATTAATATTAATATCTAAAATTAATTTTATTCTATACTATTTGGATAATATTCTTCCAAACACTCAATATATTATTAAACTGAATAAAAAAATTGTAACCTTTTAAAGGAAGTATTTTAAAATATATACCTTTACAATAAATACAAACATTATCTAAACTGTAGATCATAATTTAATAAATTAACCATAAAAAGTGTTTAAATTAAATAACATACTAATGTCAAATAAAATTTTAATTTTCAAATTGTAACTCAGATTTTATTAAAATGTTAATAACTGATACAGTTAATTGGTGCCAAAAAAAAAAAAGTAAATAGTCAAAAACCAAAATAACTAAGACAAATATGTATGATTACAATGTAGTTTCAAATTTGTTTTTTTGTTTACATACTTTGGATGTATTGGTGTTTCCGGTAGACTTTCTTAATGGTTCTTTAGAAATGTTTAGATCTGAATTTTTTATATTTTCATTCTGAAATATATTAAATAATATCTTCTTAAATTTAAATAAATAATCTTTTCTTTGTTTAATATACCTTTGGTGTATTAGATTGTTTTTTAGTCAATTTTTCTTTAGATTTTTTCGAGCCATTACATTTTTCAGTATCAGATGTATCTACCTAATAAGAAAAAATAAGTAAAATAAGTACTAAAAATAATACTTAAAATTTAATACCCTACATTTTTTAATATAGAAGGAATATATTTATCTAACATTAAAAAAAAATTGATACATTAAATATAAAATTTAAAAAAAGTAATTTTTAACAAATATAATTAAAAATATATGGCAGGGAAAAAACCATGATCTAAAATATATCTCATTTTTGTTTACATAGATGTTCAGTTTTTATATACATAAAAATAAAAAACACCATAGATATTTAAATTTAAAAATCCATGATAATGTGTTACTGATTTTCATAACATTGGTGTATGTCACATTTTTTAAAATAAAATAATTTATTTCGTTATAATAAACTGATATATTTTGATATATAACTGATACATAGTTAAATCAATAGTTGGACCAAAGAAACTGGTGGTTAATCAAAATACAGAATATTGAATTTTTATACATCAAACTTATTTATTAGGTTCACAACTAAGTTCTCGTTATTTGTCAATAGATAGCTTTAGCAGTATGTCCTGGTCGATTTTGACATATCTAAAATGTCACAAACCAAGATGAGACATGTGATAAACAAACTGTTTTGATTCATTAGTGATTTAATTGTGGCATCATATACTTTTAGTTGTATTAAAATGTTAGATTTTGTGCCAAATAATCATCATTTAAGAGAAGTGTTACTTTTCTTATTTTATTCAAAGAAATGATGACTGAAGTACATTGCAAGTTAAAAATGTTTAAAATACTACTTTTAAGTAAAACAAATAAGTTTCATTGGTTTCATCACTTTAAAAACAGTGAGTTTAACGACTGCCTGTGTATAAGAAGACCAAAAATTTTGAAGATTCTGAATTTGTGGAGTTGCTCAATGAGGATCCATACCAAACACAAGAAAACTTTGCTTTGGTATTAGAAATTATCCCCCAAACCATTTCCAAGCGATTGCATGCGTTAAGAATAATTCAAAAGCAAGGAACTTGGGTTTCTTATAATTTGAAGCCAAAGGACATTGAGTGTCGTTTATTCAACTGTGAATTACTGCACCAATGGCAAAAAAGGTAGGATTTTCTTCATTGAATTGTGATGGGTGATGAAAAATAGGTTCATAATAGCAACCCAAAATAAAGAAAGTCTTGGGGACTGTTCGGTTAAGCTCTATATCACTGTGTCGAATATACAAGCTGTAAAGGTTATGCAGTGTATTTGGTGAGACTAGGATGGTGTTTTATAAGTTGTTGAAACCGAATGAAACATTACTGGGAAATTGTATCAACTTTAATTGATGCGACTGTGTCAAGCATTACGCGAAAAATTCGGGCAGAGGCACAAAAAAGTAATTCTATTGTATAACAACGCTCAGCCTTATGTTACCAAATCCATTAAAACCTTCATAGAAATACTCAAATAAAAATCCTATCCCACCCACCATATATTCTCCAGATATTGCATCATCTAATTAATACTTGTTACGTTAATATTAAAATATTAGAGTTAATAAAAAATTAATTAATTGTACTGACAAATGAAGAACTTGTTTTGATAAATTATATTGTGTTTTTTTGGAAGGATATAGTTTTTTTTTTTTAAAGAAATCAATGTCTAATATGGTGAATATTGGTCCATAACAATACTACTCAGTACTTAAGCAAACAACTTAAAAATATTGTTTCCTTGTACCATGTGGGTAACAGTTGCAATTCAAACTGCCACTTTGTTTCAATCTGATTACAATTTTTTCATAAATAACTTTAATTATGATAATTTTACCTTATGCTTATTTGATTTTCTTTTATTCTTTACAGAAGACTTGCACTTATCAGTATCAGTAACAGAAGACAATTTCTTTTTTTCTTCTTCCTATTTAAAAGACTTCGATTTGTGATCAAATATTTAAATAAAAGTAATTGTATACCTTTTCTACTTTAACACCAATGAACTTAGAACATCTAGTTGCACCACATTGACATGGTTTTTTTTCTACTCCAGAACAACTTTCAAGACGATAGTCAAATACTAATTCAGTACCAGCTGGTATATCATGTAATGCAAAAAGACCAATTCTTGTATCACCATTAACAGTCCACTTTTGAGTAAAACAATTTGGCTCACACGAATGATTCATAAACCTTAATAACCCATTTGTATTTATATAAGAATAAGATTTGAAGTTATTATATATTTTTACCTTGAAAGATTTCCTTTAGGTCCTGCATCAATCATTCTATTGTGATCTATAGTTAAAAAGTAGTAATTTTGTTCATTTTGTTTTTGCATTTCATAGCATCTATTTCTAAACTCTTCTTCGTCAATAACTTCACCAACATACTCAATTACAAATGAACCTATATTTAAAATAAATTAACTTATGTTAAAAAAATTAATTATAACATTTTTTTTTTTATTGTTACCTTCTTTAATATCCTCTAATGTTTTTAAACCCCAACCTCGGCCATTAGTTAAAAATGGTTCCATAGCTGGGTACAATGTTTTCTCAAAACGTTGATTTTGACACCTATCTCCAGCTGGACACAATCGAGGATCACATTCGAACATAAGCATTCTGTACAAAAATAAGTAATTCTCTAAAATTTTTTTTTTCTGTTAATATAATATGAAAGTTTGTTTGTTTGTAAATAAGCTATTGATTTTTTATTGTTATGGTAATTTGTTACTACATGCCATACACTTGAATACAAAAATATATTATTGAATTTAGGTTGGCATGGTAAATATGTATAAAACAAGTAAATATGTTATATTTGTAACACAAATTATAAGGAATGAAAATAAAACATTTTTTTAACTAATAAGACTAATAATGGTTATTTTTGCCTTGACGTTATAATTCCATTTTTCTAAGTACATAAGTTGTGAACACTTTTCTCTACAACAAGTAATATGGATTACAATATTAAAAAAAAAATAAACTTTGAATATTTAAATAAATCCATAAAAGAAAGTTAACTATAGGCTAATAGTTAAAAATAATTTTTAATTTATCAATGAAATAATAATAATTGGATAATCCTATTTCAATATAAAAAAAAAATAATATATAACATATACAACATTAATTAACTCATAAATCTTCTATATTTAGTACCTGTTTATACAATCAGAACCTGGTCCACAGGGATCCGGTTTCGTTGGATCACACTCACAAGATGTCATAACGCTCAAATTACACTCCATATTTTTAACATTGCCCACAGGTTTATTGAATTTTATTTTTGTAAATTTTGGTGGTTTCTATAAATAAAATGAAGTAATCATATAATAAGATTTTAAAATGTAAGTATGAACATACTTTTGATGATTTATTAATGATTTTAGCGTCATTCCTGTCTTTATCTATAATGTAAGCATTGTGTGCTTGAGCAGCTTCTATTATTGCATCTTGAAATGCTTGTTCAATTGTATTCATTTTATTTTTAACTAACATATTCTCATCATCCTGGAGCAAAAAAAAATATTAAGATTGAAAATAAGTTTTAAATTCATATTGTTAGCCTCTTTTACTATCAAAACTCCATTTTAACTACTTTTCAGTAAACATAAAAGTTAATCTCATTAATAGATGTAAAATACAGATATATTCAATATGATTTCAGAGTAGTATTAAAATCTGATTACAATGAAAATGGCTTTATACACAAAATGCAATGATCACAAGTCACATATAAAAGTTAAGTGATGTGGCAATAATATCACCCATAAATTTTAGTTATAATTCATAAATAAGTAAATAAGTAATTATTTACTTATTTTTATAAAAATAACTTAATTCTAAAAAAACTATATCATTAAGTAAAATATTAACTATTTACAACAATAATTTTGCAAAAAGATATAATACTCACACCCTCATGAAAATTAAAAACACGCCCACGATTTACCCAATAATACTTATAGGTTCCAAAAAATCGTACAACAAATTGTCCAATACTATGTGGAAGAGTATTAACAGAATCAGGAACTTGATTTGGAAAAACAATTTGAGCTGGCCACCATCTGTTAAATAATAATATTAATTAAAAACAACAAAGGTTCAAACAAATATTAATTTAAACTAATAAACAGATTGAAATTAAGTTAATTTTTTCATTGGTCCTTAAATTATAGGGATTATAATAATTAAAATCTATTTTTACTTTTCCTATGAATTTAGATTATAATGTTAATAATTAGCTAAATCTAAAGCCCTAATATTAATAAATCAAGACCAATTTTTTTGACAATAATATCAAACTATGAAAACAAGAAAGCCATATATATATATCAAAATTAATGATACTTGACATCTGGGTACAATTCTGTAGTATATTATTTCTTATCTAAAAATGCAAGCTACCTACATAAAATGTAACCAACTTTGTGAGAGTAGTTTAACTTTAAATAGAAATGCAAAAAAAAAAGTAACACAATATAACTCAAATGAGAGGTCAAAACTTTGAAATTGTGTATCTATATAAATGTATTATTTTGAGATATGGCTCTCTAACACTCATGGTGCAATATTTTTTTTTGAATAAAAATTAACTTACATACCTATAAGCACCAATTTTAGCCCAAACTATTTCTCCATAAAGTGGATACCTCCCAGTTTGACATTCTTCACAAGTGAAACCTTCTTCAAATTTTGATGGAGGTAAATTTAGACATTCTACGTGGAATGATGAAGGACATAAATCACAACAAACTAATGATCCTCCTATAAAATAAATATGAGTAATACAAATATTTATTAAATGAATTACTTAAATAATGTACCTAGTGTGCAAATGAAGCACCAAGTAGAATTAATATGGTGACTTAGTCCTTTGGGTGGTTCATAATGCCTACTACAAACAATATTATTAGAAGTCAAAACTTGACATCCAGCTGGTAAACAATATTCATCTATGACAACATAAATTAATAAATTAAATTTTATCATAAAATTAAATGACACATTCACAAGAATAATTTAAAATTATAAAAAAACACTTTTTTACTTTTATGGTATGCTGTTGGACATCTAATGCACCGAATTAACTTTTCTGCAGAAAATTTGATTTTACATTTACTTTTAGGATTATCAGATATACACAAATGACATACATGATGTGGACAAATAATTGAATGGTTATTGTTGCTAAAACCTTGAATCCATTGACATTGTGGCCACTCATCCAAACACTTTTCATGATAAACTTTACCACAACTGGCTTTAATAATAAATTTTAAATATCAATGTCAAATAACTAAAAACAAAGTAAATTAAAAAAAGTAGACTGTCAAAAGTTTACAAGACATGTTTATATCTCTCTAAATTAAAATTTATTCGGGATAAATTAATAAAATTAATTTTGATTTACTTTATCAATTTCAAGTTAAGAAATTAAAGCCTTGTGCAATTTAAAATAAATTTTTTGATAAAAATATAAATAGTGAAAATATTTCTACTGAGAATATAGTAACAATTGTTCTAATAGAAAATCTGGATAAAGGATTTATAAATTTTGTATGAACAACTTACAATATAATGCAAATTTGTTATTTATATATAAAATTTTCTAGAAATATTAATCATTTTAACAAATAAACGTACTTTTTGAGTGACTAAACCCTAATTACAATGTTATTTAGTTTTCAATAAAATGAGTATGAATTGAACTGTATTTTTATATGTTCAGAATGACTAAATAAAATTCATAAACATGTACAAAATATATTCACCAAGAATATTTACAACATAAATAATGTCATTCAAGTATTAAACTAAATTAAATTAAATAAAAATAGAAAAATTATCAAGTTAAATTAGTTAAGAACAGATTACAAATTACTTACCTAATTTACATGTAAAATATTTTTTATCAGAATTTTTATCAATACATAATCCGCATGAAAAGCAATTAATTCTTTTATTTCTACACAAATTGCACATATAATCTAAATCACCAGTCAAAAATCCATTTTCTGATTTTGCTTCTAATTTATTAAATGATTCATTATTTAAATTATCAGTTGTTTTAATAACCAACTTGTCATTTACATTCTTGTTTTTTTTATCTTCTATTGATTGATCATTATCTAGATTATCATTGTTCTTATTTTCATCAGGTATAAGTTGATTATTCAAAGATTCATCAACATTGTCTTCAATATTTAAGTTCTTATCTTCAATTACTGTCTCTAAACCATTAGAGTTGACAATATTATCATTCCTGTTAATTTTAGAGTATTGTCTTTTTGAACGGGTGGCTTGCCTAGCTTGGTGTTTAGCTTCCAAAATAGACTGATCTGAAGAATTGTGCTTATCTCTACTTTTATCAAGACATTCTTTATGAAAATAATTTTGACATGTACCAGAACAAATTAATGTGTTTTCAAATTTTTCACATATCACACACGCTTTTTTAGGAATTTTTACAAATAATTGTTTATTTTTTTGACTAGCTAAAAATACTGAGCTATATGTTTCATTTTTAGATGATGTTTCACTTTCAGTTGTATCTGGTTCAGGACTACTCTCACTTTTTGACTTACTAAAAATAATACAAAAATTAATACATTTTGTTAGAGGACTAAAAATGTTTACAATTATTACTTTCTTTTGTTGATTGAATCTTTTTCATTATTTTTATGTTTTCCAATATTCTTTTTTTGAGGTGAACTACTAATTTTTACATATAAATATTACTTATATTAAACATTATTAATAATAAATAAATTTAAAAACTTAATTGTTATTAGCAAAATAAAGAAATCTGAACCTTTAACAATAACACTATTAAGAGGAGATTGAATCTTAGTGATCTATTTATACCTATCAATTTCTATCAAGGAAATACTAATTTATTAGTTAAATTACACTGTTATAAGTTTCTAAATGATTATATTCCCACCTATAAATAGACTGATAAAAACAGATAAAAATATTCTAAAACAGGGTTTCCACAATATTTTAACTTAAAAATTGTTTGACTTTCCACACTGTTTTATAGAAATTATATAATGAGTCATCTTTGAATAAAATAAATCATACAGAATAATTTTAATATATTTCAAAAAGGATAATATATAAAAATAACCAAATAATATTTTTAAAGTATACCTTTTCGATGATAATTCTTTTTTGAAAGACTTGCTGTTCTTAATTTCTTTTATATTTTTAATATTTTCTAATGCACTAAAAAAAAAAAAAAACAAATTGTTTTTGCTTTATTTATTTTATTTTTCATATCATTTTTGAATTACTTGATTTGATGTTTTCTACTCTCAGGAACCGTTCTAGAATTACTTTTAACCAACAACTCTTCATTGTCACTACTCCTAAAAATGATACATATATATAATAAATATCCAAAATATATTTATAATTTTAAATACAATAAAAATACCATGTAAAACAACAAACTACTGTAAGCATAGGTGTGCTCACATAGACAATAAAATGTTACTGCCGATGAATGATTTAGGTTTATTGAATTGACCTATTTACAATTAATGTTAAATAAAGTAAATGTCTATTATCATTATAATCAAAACAGAACTGTTAAACTTCATAAAATAAATTTTTTATATAAATTTACACGTCAGTATTTAAGGAAATTTAATTTTTAAGTCCCTCATTTATTCTCTATGAAATATGGGCAGTTTAGAAATAGTCATGGGTTATAACAAATTTTTGCTATCCCTAATCTGAATCTCTTTAAATGCCTATAGCCATAAGGTCGTACACAAAATAATAAATTAATAAATACATAACATGAATATCTATGTCAAAAAATTATTTTTTAAATTTTATACCAAATAAAAGTACTTTCATTTTTTTTAAATATAAGAATAAAAATAATTTTAAATTAAAAGTCTAACTTTTATTTAATACTAATATTGAGCAAATTAGTTTAAAAGCAATCAATACTTAACACTTTAAAATTAGATCTACTCCCTTATTCAAAAATATTTTATATTTAAATTGTCTTTTTTGTGCTCTAGTTTACTTTTTATTAGAATACAGCTTATATATAAGTGCACATTTTTTATTTACCACATAAAAAAATTAAATGGGTACAAAAGAAAATACTTATATTATATTGGTTTTAAGGAAACTTTAAATAATAATTAGAGCCTGGAATTTTGTTTGAGCGACTTTAAAGGATCAAAGTATGCAATTTTTTCATAAAATAATAAAATAGCATAGAAATATTTTTCATTTTGAGGGGATAAACTATTTTGATAGTAACAACACATTACTAAATTTTAAAGTCAATTAATAAAAAAACCTAACACAGAGGGATTGTGGCACAGTGGTGACGTGGTATAGCTGGATCAATTATAATAATATCTATCAGCGATTAAAATCACTATCAAAAAAAATTCTTCGATGCAAATCTGTAGATAGTGTTTAATCTTCAAAAATTGGTGGATTATTCCAAAAGCTACAAGATCTGCTAGTCCCTTATTAATATCCTGATTAAGATGAAGTATGTCGAATGAAAAAGGGATATAAATATTATTTCTCATAAAAAAATTGTGTTGATCCATACACTTTTCAATAAGTTATAGCATTATAAAGTTAAAAATGTAAAAAATAAAATCGAGAATTTTAACACAATAATAGCATTTGGTAGCCATTTTCACCGTGAAGATAAAATAAAGTCCGAAATTTTTTTTTACATGATAAATTATATTACATTAGCTTTAATTTAAGATATATATTTTAAAATAAATAAAAATAATATAAAAATGTCAGACTGTCCGAAACACTTTCAAAAGTTAAGTTGAAAAAGTTAATTTTTTGTGAAAAAGTTATCATTTTATATCCCCCCTTGTGGGCAAGTAAAGGGTCAGATTATAAAAATATATACCAAATGAAAGGTAACGATATCATGCATCTATATAAAAAAAAAATATATTGATTTGGTTATTTTTAAAAAAGTTATGGCAATTTTAAGTGAAAAAAATTGAAAAATTTTTGAAAATTAGCAATTTTTAAATTTGTAATTTTTTTTTGGAGTTTTCCCCCATTTACGGGGAACGAGGGAAATTTTTTTCAATTTTTGAGGGTATTGTTTTTGACTAGATACGATTTGTGATCATTTGATGTATCATTGAAAGAAATTGGTTCGATGAGAACTGAGAAAAAGTGGTAACAGATAAAAAAATTTAAAAAAAAACACATCATAGTAAAACTATGCATCGAAGCTAAAATTTGTATTGGCTGATGGGGTATTCGGAATAACTTAACAATATTATTTATATGCATATAATCTAGATTCTAATAATAACTTTTTCCATACAATAAAAATGATATTCAAAATAATCTTAACTTAATTTCTCAATATAGCTAAACAGATACAACATTTCTTATTAAACTATTAAATGGTACTATCAATTGTTTACCACTATTATAGTGAATTTCTTTTCACATTATACTTATTATGATCAAATAATTCTCATAAGAGGGTTTTAAAACTTGCTAATATTTTTGGTAGTATAAACTTTTTCTTTACTACCAATAAAATATAAGTTATATAAATGAATTATTTAACCATTTAATTAAATACATTTTAATTAATAATAAGTTTATTATATCTTTAGTTATTAGTTATTTTAAATATGTACTATATTTTATCTTAATAGTAATTTTAGATATTGTTATTTTGTGAAAATTTACTCTCAAGTTTTACATAATCTATAAAAAATAAATGTTTTCATTTAAAGTAATATTTTTTTTTGGATTTTGTAAGTTACATATGAATATCCATCTATTTGTTATAAAATAATTTTTAGATCCATCACTCATGTATTATAGAGGTATAAACTCCATTTTTTTAAATATCAATATATATTTTATTATAATACATATATATTTAACTAACTAAAAATTAAAAATAACATAATTAAAAAAATTACTGGTTGATAACAACTTTTGGACCAATACCTTAAAGTTATTAACTTGTTAAAATATAGACAAGAAAGTGGATTGTGGATGTGGTTATATTTATTATAAATCATTTCTCAAGCACTCTCCTCTTTCCATCAAAATACAAAATTGAGAATATCCCTGTTCCAAAAGTTGTTATCAATCAGTCATTTTTTTCATTAGATCATTTTCAATTTTATAGCTAGTTAAATATATATGTTGCTATTTAAAAAAATGAAGTTGAAACTCCTATAATACATAAGGGATGAACACAAAAATTATTTTTAACAGATATGTATTTTTAATAGAAATATGTATGTAATTAAAAAATCCCAAAAAATTTAAAATGTATTATTTTTACAAGTATTAAATAAATAAATACTTACACAATACTATCATTTTCTGAAAGGTCACTTTTATCATCACATTCAGAATCGGATGAATTATATCCATTATTTATAGAACATTTAGGAGGATAAGTTTTCCAGGGTTTTTCATTTTTGAATGTTTGTTCTAAATTTTCTATGTAAACATAGCTCATAGAAATGTCAGATATAGTAGTATCAATTTCATCTGAATTAAAATGTATAGAAATATCAATGGATTTTGAGGAAATACTATTGCTATTTGGTATTTTTTCAGTCTTAATTTTTTTTTTTTCATTTTCTGCAGGTGCTTGATGCCTTTTTCTCGAATAGGTACGCACTTTTTCCTAAAAAATAATTAATAATAGTTTAACAAATTTAAATCATAAAATCAGCTTATTTTATGTATAAAAAAAAAACTTACTACAGACGAAGGTTCAGAAACAATATTCAATGAAAATTTTTGAATATCATCACTTGAAGCATCACAAAATGTCTTAAAAAATTCAAGAATTCTTTGTTCTCTAAATGAAAAAAATATTTTTTGAAAATACAATAATTAACAATAATATTTTTATTAACTTTAATTCAAAAACTTACGGATCAAATTTTAAAAGATTATCAGCTTCTTCAACAGCCACATTCCATGTTTCTTTTGCTTTTTTATTACTTTTGAAATTAGGAGGCTAAAATAAAAATGCATAATTATAATACACGTATATTTATTATAAATATATATAAATTATTTATAATGAATTTTTGTTTTTACATTGATATATTTTACATTTTGTGAAAATATAACGAGTGTTTATACAATAGTTCAAAAAAACTATTGGATTGATATCTATTAGATATATTATCAATTAAAAATTAATTTTGCCTAATAAAATTTTTTTCAGAGGCGTAATTTGTTTTTACTTGTTATAAAAAACAAACTAATAATAGCAAATATTTTATACTGTTCAAGTTATTTTATAAGTGTATCTTAAAAAAAATAGCCCCTAATTAAAAATTAAATTTTTACCAATTACACTGAGCAACTAGAAAATAAAATAAATTACCAAAAAGTTACTTCTATCATTATAATACATCACATGTATTAGATAAAAATATAATAAAAAATTTTTAATTTTCATTATTTTAATAGAGATTACATTTTTTTCTCAGTCTTCCACTATCTAACATAATGTTTAGAAAGGTAATTAAAAGATACAACCGATTAAACTTGATTAGTATATCAATAAAAATCAATAAAAAATAAGGCAATGGATAAATAATTTAATTTAATTTAGTGATATCCTAATAGAAATCATTGGAATGTAATTAAAATTTATATATAACTTTCTTATAAACAATTTTTCTATTGACAACATTAAAAAAAATTTTCAGAGAAAAAAAATTTAGTTTAATATTCAAAAATGTATGCAACATCATTATAGTTTGTAATAGATAAAATTAATTAAATATAATTAAGATAAATTGTTTTTATACTTACTAAACAAGATGGATATTTTTTCAAAAGTGCTTCTTTTCCTAGATATTTCTCAACTGTTTTTGCCCAGCTTCTTCTGCCTTGATCATTACAAAATCGAACATGTAATTCAAAATATTTTTTTACTTCTAAAAAAAAAATATTAATTCATTATAAGTTTTAAATAGTCAGTGTTTTAGGCTATTATTATATATTCAGGGTCAATACTATAAGAGCATAACAATAATATCAGCGACAGTATCTAGACTGTTTATCAAAAGAAAAAAATAATAAAACTTTCCAAATACAATTTAAAATTTTTTCCAAATATTTTTAGTGAATGTCTTATTGTAAAACAACAGTATAAAATACTTTTACAATAATAGGTATTTCATGTACAAATATACTTAATAAAATCAACAAAATAATTGATATTTAATTTTATTACAAAATATAAAAAAAAACTTACTTTTAGACTCTTTGTAATATATTTTCTGATTAGGATCATAACAAACAACACTTGGCCAAAAAGGATACTTTCCAATTTTAGCCCATACAACATCACCAATATTAAAATTATTATCCAGTTTTTTTTCTGAATTGCTATCAATTAAAGACAAATCATCGTCATGTACAATTTCTTTTTCTGGTGATAGCATTGGACTTTTTTCATGTAAAGTTTGATTCAGTAAAATTTTATTAGCTATCGATTTGTCAGCTGATGATTGGTCATCGGAAAATTCTCGTACTGAATCTATTATAGATTTTTCATTATTGCAATGGTTAGAATTTATGGGAACATCAATTTGATCATCTAATTCAGCCATTTTGATCAAAATTCTAAAACAGAAAAATTGAACTACTAAAACAAAATAGTAGAGTATACCTTAATCAAACCACTAATATATAACTTCTAACAACTTTAGAAAAGCTTAATAAAAAGATATTTTATGTGTAAAAATTTATATTTGAATACTAGTGTGGCATAATTAAAAAAAAAACAAAATACGCATCAATTTATTAAAACTATTCAGGGGTCTTTCCTTTTCACGCTATATCTTACATAATTCTACACCCAATTCTAGGAAGTAAAAGTATTTGAGTTAACTAATTTAAACTACCTCAAGTATGGGGATATTACTAGTTATTTAACGTCCGGCATAGGTCCAAATGCTTTTGGGAATATTCTTGTTTAAACAAACATATAAAGTTAAGTTAAATTTATTAAATCAATATTCATTGGTAGTCAAGTAATAAAAATACAAATATTTAAAATATATAAAAGGAACTAAAATAATTTAAAACAAAACTGACATTAAAAAAAATTGTAGTTTACGTTTATGTATTAATGCAATCGGTATTCAATTCATCTTAGTGTTAACATTAAATTCTCAACATCCCTGATCACAATTCCTAACATACAAATTTCGCGAACATTAACAGTTAACGCATGCGCAAAAACGTAAAAATCCAACAGCCGTTATAACAATTCCCCACACTGTAGCCAACTGTTTCATTTAAATTACTAGAACAGTAGATAGAGCAACAAGTTTTGCAATTAAAGCTGTAGTGTAGTACGAATGGAAACAAATAATGGTTTTCTTACGCTAAAAAATCCAAATTAACATGCAATTTATTAGTAAATGAAAATTTGCGAATTAATAACAAGAAATTAATATTAATTTAAATGTTTAAATATATATATATCAATGTAATATATAAAACGGTATTATAATATATAGGCAGTACATTGGATCATAGTGAAAACAATTGATTCCAAGACAGTTGAATTTAAGGTTTTAATACATTTTTCATGGTAGTCTACCGAGAAACCGTATCTAAATAGCACTATTTCTAAAGTATCTTATTTAATTTTTATTAATTAATTAATAATGAACAATCATTTAACTTTTTGGTTTTACATTTATCTCACTTTTACCGAAGTATTACTGTGAATTCTTCTGTTTTAGTTACCTCATATCATTTCACTCTCAATGATGGGCTAGACCTAGATTCTAGATTCTAAAAGCTGGAATACGATCGAACCCTGAACCACAACTAAAGAATAATACACAAACAAATTTAAAATACAATTAAATGCGTTGTACTTATAATGCAAAGTCATTATAATACAATGTTTTTTCATCGGACTTAGTTATACGTTTCATCCCAATTCGTCTTGCTTCCTGATTACTTAGATCTATATTATTTGCATTTAATAATGCACAGTTTTCATTCGACCAGAATTTGACTTTTCATTCAAAATACTACGAATGGTGTCAAACATTTTTTGTAGATTATAGCAATTCTCAAGAGTTTTTAAGCATGTATATAACACATTTTCTAACCAAAATGTTGTTAACATTTAAAATACACAAAGATGATAATGTTTAGAATGTAGTAATTTCTCTCGTTTATTACCATTTTATGAGTTAAATTCATTTAAAATGTATATATTTTTAACTTGATCTAAGCTTTTTTAAAAAATTTTTAATTTAACCCTTGTTTAAATAAAAATTCAAAATTATACATATTATACATTTCACCTTCAAAATATTTATATCAGTAAGAAATATAAAGTTTTTATTCACAATAAAAATAATCGCTATATTGGTTAATACAGTACAATATTTTATTTTTAACAAATTAACTTTTTAAAATATTTCAATAGGATACTTTGAATAATTAAATAAATTGTGCTACAGTAACTAATAGTATGCATTTTGAAAAAAATAAATAAAAATTAAACGAATAATGCAAAAATATCATATTAATGGTACTGGTATAATCCAAATACGTCAACCATTTTTTTAAATTCACTTTTATACATAATTTTATGAAGTCAAAATTGTTTCGAATATAGGTACAACCAATCAACTATGTTCGATAGTTCGTCTTAAACTCACCTTGTTTGCTATGTTATAATGTAAAATAAATTTGTGTCTCCTAAAAAATTGTTAAAAGGAAACGTATCTGGTTATTATGGTCTTCAATTAGGCTCTCGTTTCTAATAATAAATTAATATTTTTTGGTAATTTATCTGTCGACATCAGGGTGTAATTAAAGTGGTAAGCAATAGAACCTCCCAAAACAAAAATAATTTTTTTTTGTTTGTGATGAGATAGTGATAAATTTTCTTATATAGAGTGTTCGATAAGTAAGGAACCGGGTTCTATTGTTCTCATTGTTTGTAACAATTGTTTCCTTACTTTTTGAACACCCTGTATAAACATGATCTTCACACAAAAAAACTATTGTCAATTTCGGAATGTCATATTTGAAGTCCAACTTTTTATTGAAATATTTTTTTATGTAGTTACATTATATAGTATTTTAAATATTTTATAACACTTATCTAATCCGATATTTTGTATTTTATTTATGTTTACGATTAATTAAGAACCTCCTTTGTGGCTTCCTTGGAAGATGAAATTTTCACATATATGTACTTCAAGACAGAAGGCTAGTCCGTCACTAAAGAAAGAGATGTCATCTTAAAATATACCAGTGACAGTGCGCGTAATAGACTGCCGCTTTTGCGATTCCACTACGCAGTCTCGCCATTCTTATAATCTAAAATAACAAATGTTTTAATTATATCTTTAAGTATTTATTGTTGTATTTATAAATATCTTAAAGAATTATGAACACATATTCTTAAGAATCTTTTTACATATTAATATTGAGAGGAGTGGCCAAAAAACACTTAAAGAAACCCCTGTATGGTAAACATTCTGGATAATATTCAGTTATTTTCTTTAATCAAAAGGTTTGACAAGTATAAGTCACACAAATTGATATTCCCTGAATATTTTTGATAACGCGATCCATAAGAACATAAAATATATTTATGCAATGTTTCTATAATCCTCTTAATAATTGTCCCAAATCTTCATAGACGCATAAAATACATTATGCATCAAAAATATACTTAAAGTCAAACTTATTTTTTTAATACATAAAACTCAATGTTTAGTATGTCTATTAATGATATTATAAAGTAACAATGGTCGCGTCGAATAGATAAAGTCAATGTGCGTATTGAAAAATTTAAATGATATGTTTTTGTATATCGCTTGTTGAAAAGATTAGGTAAGGGATGGTTAGGGGTGGGGGGGACAAGAGGAAGACCCATAAGTTGCACTAAGTTTGTAGTCGACCGTATTGGTTGGATCGCGGTCGGTCGGTTTGACTGAAGCTCTACAAATGTTTCGGGGAGCCTGCGTTGGTGTTTATTAAGTCCGCCCTACTTGTTTACCCTCCCTTTCGTAACTGTTTCAGACCCATTAGACGTGTATCTCCCTGCCATGACTGTCTACATAGGTCGCCCTTTCCTAGTGTCCGGACGAAAGCTCTCCATTATACACATAAAACAATTACTAATAAAATACATAATATTATTTAAAATTGAAATACATATGATTTGCGACGTTACGTTTCAAATTAAACTTAAAATACTTTACAAGGTTTTAAATATTAAAATAAATAAATAAAATAATTTCTGCGATTGTATTTATTATTAATAATTAATTTACTTATTTATTAACTGTTAACAATTGTTACATCATAAAAATACAATGTAATATTCCTAAAATTTTTCTCACTGTGCTCGAAATAATGTACCAAATCTTATAATTGTCTACAAATTTATTTTACATACCTATATAAGATTAAAAATAAATTGTTTTGATATTCATAACATAACTTATAATACAGTATAAATCTAATGATATTAGATGTAATAAAAACAATTTTTTTTAAGAATCAATTTTTAACAATAATTATTAAGACAATTCAAGCTTGCATTGATTATTTATTTATAACCAAAAGCTATAATTATGAACAAGGAGTATAAAAATAGATTATAGTTGTTATAGTTTGTTAAACAACAAATTGTATTACTATTTTCAATAGTGAGTATTAACTAGTTAAAAAGTTGATTATTTTTGAACTTTTCGACTTACCTAATTTAATTTTCCATTGAAATAACTTAGCATTTTTCAGTTAAAATAACAATTAAGCTAAATTCAACATTTCATAAAAGATGAATGTCTTATACAACATGCGTACGTGGTTTAATTTTAAAAAAATCGAATTTTTCTCTATCCCAAATTTTTATAACAATAAATATAATTTTCTGAATTTTTTCAAAAATGTATGTGATTTTTAACTAATTTTTTTTTTAATAAATGGTTTTAAAGATGAAATAATGCAGCCAACACTAAAATGTACAAATGAATAAAAAAAAATTTTTTTATCATTCATATTTTTTTCCAATTTAGTCGAAAACCGATTTTTAGCTTTCCCTTACATACTTAACTTAACTTAACTTGAGTTAATTATTACGATTAACTTGCCCATCCTTGACTCTTTTATTTAAAAACAAATTATTTGAATAATGTCATCTGTGTAAATAGTAAATAATAAACACAAGACGGTATTTAGGATTAGTTACGTTGCCGGCAAAATTTTTAGAGGTGCTCCCCTTTTGAAATCGCACCACTAGCCCATGCCCTGATTATGACAATAAATAGACAGATATACAAGTATAAATATAATATCGTATTTCATATAAATGAAGCTTAACTAAGACGCCCAAAGTGTCTAAAACTCTCATTTACTTTCACTAAGTTCAAAAACTTACATTATTATTTGTACAAACTTTGATTATTTACAATAATATAATTGAGTGCTGCATAATTTTTGCCATACTATTTTCATGTACGTGTCTATTATACTTTCCACCAACTCGATATTCACTTGAATTAACCTTAACAATATTTTCCAATGAACTGCTTTTTTCATGAAACTAATTTGTATTCAATGACAATGAATTGACCCTCTTTACCCCTTGCTACAAATGTAACATGGTCACACTAATAAATGGTGAACTATTTGCCTGTATAAAATTAAGAAGTTTTGTAAATACAGGTGTTTGTATACCTGCCACGCGGCAACAACGCCCTCAATCACATCACATCATCTTTATAAGCACATTAATAGGGAACATTTTGTGCGATTCTGCGTACGCCACGAACTATTTGTACTGAAATATATCCTGTGGTAGAAACATCAAAGAAACAATTTTTTCCGATGAAATATAACAAAGGATTTTATTTTATAATTTAATTGTCACTTCACGAAAATTGAATTCATTAGGGGGGCTGTAACTCATACGGCTCCCCTGCAAACTACGGAAATGGATCGCTTTAATATTTCTTTTTTATAAAAATTTATAGCGAGAAAGGTTAAGAAATATATTGTTCTAGATCATAGCAAAATTCTATTAACGTTCAAGTAATACATTTTTATTGTTTTTATCGCCAAATAATAAATAATTAAAAAATGTATCGCGAATAACACGTTTTCAAATTAAATCCAAAATAAATAATTAAATTGGAACTAAAGTCTCGTAGTATTGAAGCTGAAGATTCCGGTATTCCGTTGATCATGTCAATTTTGATGACAATTATTAACTTTGAATGAACATTATAATTTTTTATTTAAATGATCTCCAGGTCCTATGGTTCATAAATTTGTAATTAATATTTTATTAGTCAAATATATACGTATAGATATAGCGCAAATGTTTCCCACAGAATGAAATAAGCGACTAATCTTTAAGATCTCAATGCGCTACAAACGGACAAAGTAAACATGGATTTTCAATGATATCAATTTACCGATATTTATCACTGTATGGGACCATTTGCAATATTTAATTATTTGACATGACGATTAAGTGATCATTTGTTAGTACAATGCCAATGTACTATTCTGCATACGTGGGGGCTGAAGAGTAACGTGCGGCACGTGGCGAACACGCGCATTTTTCAGACGTGCCGCACCATCCGATTATCTTGTCCCTTTGTACCGACAAACCGCTACACCGAAACACGACATACGAGCACACTGTAAAGTAAACAGAACACTAATCTTGAAACGCACTTCGTAATCTTTAAACAATGTAGTCACCGCTAATCGCGTACAACTACTTAATTTCAGCGCTGCACAGTATTAAATTCGTATTTTGTAGTAGCGAAAGTTCAAAATTACACGAATTGGTCCAATTAAAATTTGCACTCGTAGAGCGAATGGATTTCATAACAATTAGTCGAAAGAACCTCGTATGCCAATGACCTCCTGCTAATGTAAAAACGATAGGCGAGATACAGCGTCCAACCGATCTGATTAAAATGAGGTATTCCGTACACTTCATCTAATTAAGCACTCGTGGTTGGTTACTCCTTGAAGTGGATATTTTGTTATCGCGCACCTACGATAAATAAAATACGTTGCATTGATAAACACACGACATAGGACGACTGTGCAGTCTGCACTGTAACATAAGAGCCTTTAGGTTCGCTGGATCGGAAGTTGACGTGACCAAGTTAGTGTTGTGTGGCCTACGAGGATATTGTTTTTTATCATTCCAGACGAACGACGCGTCCGCAGACATTACCATCCGGAATCACTATCCCATGACGGCTGCTCCATGTCGATAAACACAATAATATTAAAATAATGTCGACCATTAATTAAAGGTAAAAGGGTGTAAGCGACATTTTCGTTTTTTTATAGGAAAACAACTGTTGTTTTCTTCATCGCTAATTTCATTTTCAGTTGCAAAAATATCAGTTTTTTTACTCATTCAGTTCAACATAGGCTATTAATGCATTCTCCCAGAAAACAATATTGGCCAACAATCAATTTTGAAATTGTAAAGTAAACGAAATGTTGCTTCCGTTTAATTTTTTTTTACATCAATGAAACACACGAAGGTTCCTTTTACGTCAGATGTTATTAATAAGATCGATTAATCAGAAATTTAAGAATATATTGACACCATTTTTGTCAAAACTATCGCTTACGCCCTTTTACCTATTGAGGCTCCATATTATAACGATAAATAAAAAAATAAAATCATTGACTAATTCTATAGCTATTAATTTTCTAATATTTTAATTTAAATCAAGATAATCGTAGAATAGTTTTATATTATACTGAATTTTTTTTTTTGTAATTATGCGTAGTTATAACTCGAGCAAAATTCATGTTTTTAAATAAATTACACTTATGGGAATGGCAAAGTTCTATTTTTCTATTTAAGTTCTTCCAATTATAGATATTATTAAATTAATAATATTGATAATTAAGAAAATCAGAATCAATTATTTTCGCTATACATTACGTTTAGAATCGATTTTCAAATCATGGCGACGATAAACACTAGATTTTACTATTTTGGTGACTTATCAAAAAATACACCCAACCGCAATCATCTGGACTTTACCAAACACGTGCTTGGTCAGTTGTAAAAACAACCACACCTCGGAAACCGTCTACAGAGTTAGTTCATCACCGAATCAATTCTTTTATATGAACTGTTGTATGTACGGAGTGAGTAGGAAAAAAATAACATACTTCCGAAGATACTGACATTGTCATAACAATTTCGCATCTGCATGAAATACCGAATGACCTCTTTAATTTATAAAACAGATATAATATAGAAAAATATAGCCTACAGTGCGACAAAACGACAGCAACGTTACGTTTGTTGAATATATTAAGGGACAAAAATTATGCGTAGGAAATATGAGAGATCAATTCGTTTAAATCTTGTAGTTAAAAATCGTTGGCATTCATTAAATATTAAACCTTTTTATCATTTTAAATAGCTGCAATTATCTTAGACGTTCAAAAATGAGTTTGTATGAACAAATTAGCAGAAGCTAATTAAATTGTTGTCACATGAGAAAATGTTGAGCAAATAACAGCTTTGGATATCGTGGGATTTTGAAAATGCGTGACCACAGAATCTCGCTGCTTACTGCATTCGTATCACAAAGTAATAGATCTTGTCCGCCACGAATAGGAATGGAATGGATCCCGAACGTGTGACTCTACAGTGTAATTCGATTCGACTCGATGGGTTTACAGAACATAGCGCACGATGGCCGGACTAGCGCTCTAAGAGCGTCAGAACATGTAAAACAGAGGGAAGGCAGACATTTAATACAAAACTGTTTTTACCCTACGCGTATAAAATGTATGTCTGTGTTTAATAGGTTTCGAATTTCGAAAAAAAGGAAAAGAATTATGAAGAAAAATTATTAGCTGGTCAACGGTGGAAGTAAAAATTATGTCATGTCCAGGAAGTAAAAGAGTTTTGATGACCGGAAACAAGGTGATCATCCCTACAACCCCTGAGATCCGATATCGGTTTTACAAAAACCCCGAAACCGATATATTCTTTCCGGCACAAGGTTAGGTCAACAGCCTTCCTGTCGTTTTAATCTCAATTTCGTTTATTATATTAACAATTATTTACATGTTTAACCGTGTAAAAATTATAACTAACCGAATTTTATTTTTTTAGATATAATAATTGAGACCGTTTTTGGGCTACATGACAACAATGAGTAACAAGCAAAGTACAGCTGAACACAAATTTTTGTGTCGACAAAAAGTCAGCGAAAAACTTTGCCGAACCCAAATAATGTTTCTCGGTGATTAAAAGATCCCGTGTTTACTCAACAATTAAATTTGAATGTTATTTTTTCATTACACGATTTTATCGAAACGAAACCCTAGGGAATTTGTTACCGTAGCACCGACCTAAGGGCCGATTGAAAAAGTTTTTTTTATTATGAAAATGTAAAATAAATGGAAATGTTTTCATTCTTCGATTTTATCTAATTTACACTTTTTCAATGTGGTACAACTGTAATATAATTATCCTCCACAAATTATGTCTTTTTTAAGTGTATTGATACACTTAAAAAAAAGAAAGCCTCGGACATAATACATAGCTAGTTAAAAAGAAAACAATCCTTCTCGAGTTATAAAAAATATTTTTTTAGGATTTTAATTATGACGCCGTGTAATGTAATTTAGAATAAAAAATCTAAATACCTAAAAAATATTTGAAGATTTATTATTCATCATTATGAATTCATGTTAAAATTAAAAATCTTTTTCGTGGTAGACTCGTGACATAAATCAAATATCATGTTCTTGCAAAAAATGCATATTTTTAAATACATTCCATGCTANACAAAAAGTGCATATTTTTAAATACATTCCATGCTACAAAAATTAAAGTCGCTAAGTGAACGAAAAACGTGTATATACTTATGTATCATTGGTCGGTGTCATGATTAACTTCAGTTGCGGTTTACTAGTGAGCCGTTTGTTTGCGTGCACGACAGCGACAAGCGTTTGGTTTACAAAAAAAAGCGCACTTCAAAGAGAGAAGTGGACACCAGCCATAGGTGACGTAAGCGACGGTACGGGAGGACAAGTTGCGGCGTCCCTTCTGTGGTCAACCCCCATCACATGGCATTAATCGCTATCGTGTCGAGGGTCGTCATCGTCAGTGAAGTCAAAGCCAGTGTCTCGTTAACACACCAGAGGTCTACTGGTAGCACTTTATTTTTTCATTGCCGTCGAGCGTTACTTTTTAATTTTCTTTTAAACTGTACTTACTATACAATAAAAACAGTAAATCGCATTCGGACGAACACATGAGTAGTATTTAACGTAAAAGATTATACACGTGCAAAAAACTTAATAGTGAATTTCTCCAAAAACGATGCACAATACAATTTATCTATGCTGCAGCTTTCGGTAATAAGGTCCCCATGAACTTCGAAGGCCTTTGGAGGTACCCACCGAATGGATAACGTTTTAACATTTGTTATTGGTTTTGGATTTGGATAACCAAGAATGACTTGACACCAAAAACGTCCACACAAGACGACGATCTGTTGCAGTCCGCACAACTGGACCCGGTCTCCGCCTCCGCAGGTAAAATTTTTAATTATTCGATACGTTTAAGTCTTTACTTTTGCTGAAAGTTATGATCGAAATAATAATAATGTACCAAAGCTGAGATATTTTTAAGAATATATTGATTCGACGTCATAGGTTTTTCATCATTACAAAAATAATTTTTAATGAATGATTAGTTTAAATATTCAGTACACAAATAGAACATTTTAGTAAAAAAATGTTTGAATTGTTTTAAGTATTACAAATATATTTTTAAGTGTATAAGGATACAAGATTTTTAATAATATTTATAAATTTATATATTATGTTGGTCATATATTTTTAAAGTTAATTTAAATACGTTATTAAGAGAACTTTTTTCATTATTTCAAAAATAATAATGCACTTTTGATATTTAATACAAGAGAACAATAAATAGACCAATAAATTAATATGATTTTTAAAAATTTCATTTTATAAATAATTACAAATCTGGTAAATTTAATATTTGATTTCCTTTTTTAATTTATTATTTTAATTATTTTTATACTGCAATTATCACTTTAAAATGTTTTATAGAAAATTTCACATAATGATCATTTGTATTAAAAATTAATATTACACTTTTCTAAAAATGTTCTAATTACGGATTACTACTAAAGTTTAATTATTGTATCAATAAATATCAATTGGTTTTGATCAAATACTTTATTAAAGTTTTTTTGTATAACCTTACATAGGAATAAGTTCTAACAACTATCTATTCGCATAACACTTATTTATTTATAACTATAATTTCATATGATATGTAGTAAGTATTATTGACTATTTAGTAAACTTGCTTCTCCTTAATTTCATCGGTCAACTTCTAGATAAAATTTTGAAAACAAATCGAGAGGCTTCAGATAAACGAATAAACAGTTATAAGAGATATTAATTTTCGCTGTCTCTACATGAAACCTATTTTACACAGCAACTACGTGAATCAACAAAGTGCAAATGTTGTGAACAATTTAGATCAATTAAATGGTCAACAAAATCTGAAATTGTGCTTGAAGTTAATTCCAATGAAAGGGATGTCGCAGTAAAAATGCTTCCACAAAAATAATAATTTACTTTCATGTGGTAGTTAATATAACACATCCTAAACATTTTTCTGAATTCGTGTCTGTTTTGAAGTAACTACAAAAAGTTCATTTCTCCGAAACGCACTTAAAAATATTTAAGAATTATTATGTTGATGTTCTTCTTTGATGTGTTTCCTACAAGAAAATAAAAAAAAGAAAGACGGGCGATTTTTCACTCCACCCTTCGCTTCTTAATGCTTTCAAACTACATGTTTATGATAAAACTGGTGTGGTATCTGATAATAGAAGGACACTTTGAGTGTGCGATTACAGAGAACCGTTTTTCCGGGGAAATACTCGCGTAGAAGTGGTTGTTAACCAATGAAAGAAGCCACACAACCACCCCAGCCGGTCCAATAACAATGGTTCTCGACGGTCCCTTATACACTGTTGTTGCCATAACGACGGTCAAACAACCACTTTTCGACTGGCCAACGGCAAACCTCAGGGACAACTGCTGTTTCCCGCCCACCCCAGACTATTTTCCGAAATAAACGCACGCTCCTTTTTAAATTTATTTTTTTCTCTATATATTACCCTCTGTGTGTGTATATAAAAAGAATACAACTTTTTTTTTCCTATAGACCTCTTTGATTTATTTGCTTTTACCAACACAATTTTCATTGCAACATTGTTATTTTTATAACATCGAAATAGCACAAGCAATGCGTTAATAAAAAGGTAAAATATAAATATATCATATGAAAATTGAATTTGAATAAATTTAAATTAAAAATATAGTGACTAAATGTATTCTACCTGAAAATAAAAGTCTATTAAATCATTAAGTTATTGTATAATTACATATTTTAATAATTATAAAATAATAATAATGAGCTTAATAAATTAAAGTTACAACACTTAATAAAAAAAAGTTCCATAGCAAAAATGATTGAACTTTTACCGATTCAAATAATTAGCAAAGGTATAATTGATATTATTTTATTTGGTAAAGAGTCAAACAAGATTTTCAACTACCTTGAATTTTTTTCTACAAGAATGTTTTTTTAAAAACTTGCTTAACCCATATATTATATATAATGTTAAAATATCTTCCTGGATACCCCTCCGCCTGTAAACCCGCAAATGCTTTCTAGCATACACTGTTGGAGCTACATCAATGAAACTTTCCTAGATTTAAATTTAGTTAATTTTTATTTACATTTAAAAAATCAAAAAAAAGAAATTGTGTTATGTTGTTCTCAATAGACCATGCGCAACAAAATATTTAATATTGAACTAATTTATGTTTTTATATATTTATATATTCTACATTATTACAGGGGAGGAAACGGTATGGCCGGGGGTTGAGTGGTCGTCAGTTAAGGGTTCGATGGATTGGTGCGCAGGTGGAGAAGATCTCTTGGGCGATCCAACGCTACTGGTGGCTGCAGGTATGCTTCATGGACCAACGCAATTCTGCACAGATACTTGCTGTACGCCAGGGTTGGAACAACCGAATGATCTACAGTTTCCACAACCCACGATCGTCTCAGTCAGTGGATCTTACGGGTAATTATAAATTAAATTCATGTTAGTTTTAATTTGTTTAATGTTTACGAAATGAAATTTCTTGTATAAAAATTATAACTATAAGGGTCCATAAAAAATGTAAAGCCTTACAAATATAAAATTAATGATTTAATTTAATTGATTCCAATGATATCCTTTATCATCCACTGTTAGTCTAAAATTAAACTTGATGTAGCCTATTTGCTTTAAAAGCTCTATGAATATAAAATCTCAATAATTATAAAAAGAAAGTTTCTCATTAATTTTAGTTTTACTCAAAGTTATGAAAACTTTGATTTAAACTACCACAAATATTTTTGTGAACATTTTCCACAGTTTAATATCTTAAATATCTAATTTTTATTTTTTGGAAATTACTCACGGTGGAGTAACATTGTTCTTTACCATTGTAAATTTAATCCACAAATTAATAGGAGGTTTAATAGTTAACTAAAAATTATTATGTTAATATCATCTCCAGAATAACATGGATAACTTTCCAGTAAAATTAATCTGTCAATTAGGTGAGTTTAACTTTTACGAATGGACACCTTTTCATTTTTCATTTAACTTTTGTTAGTATCCTATTTAAAAAAAACGTAATATTGTCACATAAATAATTACCTAATGTAATCTAGCAATATAAATTAATATAAATACATTTTAATTTGCATCTGCAATTAAAACCAGAGTAAAAAAAGTGCGGCCGGGCACTTGCTTAGGCCTCGTGCAAATAAAAACACTATAAAAGGTTTGTTAATTTGATTTGGATTTTGGGTGTTATAATATTTTCCATGGCTTCGCAATCAAAATGCCAACTGTATCTGCTACATATAATTTTAAATATAAAAATATTTCCATTATCCCAACACAATTATGTTAATATATTTTTAATTATGCGTTTATAAATGCTATTTTAAAAACTATTACTTTATAAAAGTCATAATAGAGTTTCAGCCTCTTTATTAATTTTAAAGGTCGTAGTTTATATCACTCCCTTGTTCTCGCATTCTTTGGACATGCTTTTTTATTCATACACTTTAATCAAAATAATTTGATTGCGAAAAATGTATGAAATATATTGAGTACAAATAAATGTTTTGTTGTCTTTTATATTAAAGTCAATTTTTTTTATAGTCTCAATAGTAAAACTACATATTATATATATTAGAGGAAAACAACTATTCCCTATGGTATTTTAACTGAAAATCATTAAAATTGATTTGCATTACTTAACCCATTTATACAATTTGAAAATATTTTTATACTTTTTCACGTTTAAAGATTTAAATGAAATCACAAACATGACGAGAAATCATATGTGTTATTTAATTCAAACTATTTTTTAAGACGACTAAACTATCATTGATTACAAAAGGCGCGTCAAGGCGTGGCCAAATGTTGGATTTTAGACTTGGTCCCACTCTCTATTGTAACAATTATAATTTTATTGGTTCTTTTATTTAAAGTATTTTATAATTTTTAATAAATAATATCTTAACAATAATATTTTCATTTGATTTTCCATTAAATAATAATTAAACAACAAAACTTCACGACCGCGTTAATAACAATTAACAGACGACTAGAAAATTTCCGGGTCTTCCGCTAACAGAATTCTCAATTGTGAATGACATTTTTCGCATAATGTATATTTGGATGTATTGTTTAGTTGTGAATTCAAGTGCATAGTTATAAGTTAAAATTACAGTTTAGTGTTCTATTTATACGAAATGAATGCTTATGATTTGACTACTATGACTTATAAATAGATATTGTAATTAAAATTTATACTAAAATAAACCATGTTTATGTCTAATAATGAAGTTTAATACAAATTCGAATGTCATTACTACAAAATCTAGAACCAATCAAACTTTTATCAATTTCCATTTATAGTAAATTCCTTTTAAATTTTTTACACGTATAATCATATTTAGTGTGTTTCAGATTTAACTAACAATACTTAAAACTTTTCATCCAATTATCATTTTGTTAAAAAATTTTTTTAATAAATATTGCCTTCTTATACTCCGGTCAGAGAAATTTTTTTTTTATTTTCCACTAATAAATATTTATCACTGATTTGTGACACTACAAATTATAATAACTGTTTTCTTATTCATAAAACATCTGACTTAAGATATTTGAATGTTATAATTGAAGAAAATCTTAAAAGTGATAAACATTTTAAATATATTCCTTCATTAATACAGAGTTTATATTTTAAAATGAAATGGTGTGTAATACTTTAGCAGGGTCATTAAATATCCTATGCAAATGTAGTATGGAATGAAATGTGTAAATTAGAAGTTATTATAAATACAATAAAATAATGTTATTCTATTGTTCATCTTTATAATGGTTTTTTTTTATTTTTAATTTAAATGAACTTCATTTAAAATTTTTTTTAATCCAATAATTTAAAATGGACATCAACAGCTATACTAAACAAAACGATTATTATATAAGAGCTTACATTTATCTAATCTAAATACAATTTAATGTAAAATTGTCTTTAGTCAAAAAAAATTTTTATTTATGTTGAAACTAATTATGCAGAAAATTAATTATTAGTATAAGTCATGTTTTATCTTTAAACAAAATGAAATCAAAATATTTTCAATATCTTTAAATTTTAATAATATTATTATGTGTTCGTTTAATTATGTATTGTATAGTACTTTTGCATTGTTATAGTATTAATATTTCGTAGTATTATATTGTAATAAGGTTTGATAAATTACTCAAGTTGTAATTCTTATGAACTAGATTATTATTCATCATTCCCTATCACAATCTATGCTTATTGTAAAGGTGTCAATAATTGTAACTTTTTTAAGTATTTCTAATTTTTTAATATCTATATTCATTATTGACAATAAATAAAAAAAAAATTAAAGTGAAATTTTTTATTTTTTTTTTTCAACATTTTAAAATAACCATTTTTTAGCAAAATTCTTACAAAAATATTTTTGGATCTATAGTAATTTTAGGACAAGTACTCATTGAGTTATAAACTTTTTAATATACATGGAGATTTCTCAATTATATTTCATGAAAACTTTAAAGTTAATAGTTTTATTTATTTTTTTTAATAATTATTCTTTGTTGAGATGCTATACATGAAAAATTAATTCTCTGTTACCATTCCTTATACACTAAACTTGTATCAACTTTCGATTTTCATATGACAACTCCAATCTTTTTTAGCCATTAAATTTATTTAATTGAAAAAAAAATTTTGTTTAAATTATTCAGTTTTCAAAGAACTGTTTAAAGTTTTAGAGCTATACAAATAAAGTTAAATTTTCTTTTCAAAAGACGCCAACTTTATAGAGTCGTAAACTGATAAATGATACATGTTAATAACATTGTACGACATGATAATGTGGCAGTCTTTTAAACAACTGAAACACATTAAAACACAATTTCTAAACAAACAATTTTTTTTCAATGTAATGAATCCTTTTTTTTTACCGCCCAAATCGGGGACCCGTACAGTAGGAAAACGCTGACTAAAAGTCCATCTCCCTCGGCCCGCCAGCCTGTTAATGACTTTTTGGGACCGTTGGACCACACAAGTAATGTCGTCCCGAACATTAGATGTTTGTCTACGACCAGGCCCAGATAAGTCATGGAGTTCCTAAGCGGCATTTCCAGCACAGCGAACCGTAGAGGAATGAACTTGTACCTGCCCGTGAACATGACCGCTTCGGTCTTGTACAGGACAAGGCTCAGTCCGCTCCACTCCTGTTGGATCTAGGCAGTGACAACGCTGTGCGCACAGTTCGCCCGGGATCCAGCCAGATTATCCAGGAGTTAATATCACCTCAACTTCATATCGAAGCTAGAAAAAATATTATGCTTTGGCCATAGTCTAAGATGGCAATAATATTTAATTTATAATTTTAAAAGAATGATATTGTAGTAATAATTAGTACCTCAGAATACTTAAATACTAGTCCACAAGTTCGACCGATCATTTTGTTAAATAGATCATTTCCTATTTTATAAACTAGTTGGATATGTATGTTAAAAATTAAGTTAAAATTCCTATAAATTATGATATGATAATGCAAAAAAGTAATTAAAACTGATGAATCAATAAATATATGTATCTAATAAAAACCAATTTTTTTTTTTTTTAATATTCTATATATTATACGAGTAATTAAATGATATATAAACGGATCGCCCTTTGTATCATCAGATACCAGTATGTTAAGGTTTAAGATAAATTAAATATAAAAATGTTAATTTAAAAAATGATCTTATGTGAGTTTTAATAGAAGAAAACAATACATAAACAGTAACTGGCATAACCAACATATCATATCATTATACTCATAATTTAAATAATATTTTAATTAATCAATTTGATATAATTAGCTTACTAAAGTGCATTAAAATCTAGTAGCAGTGATTTTTTTTATACAAACTAATTTAATTTTTAAGAAAATACCATATATTTGTGCAGTTATAACAATTTCTTGACATTTAAATAAAATATATTTTTAAATAATCATTGTACCTTCGAAAATTAAATAGCGATTTGGTCAGATTTGCATTTAAAATTGCTCTCTAGAAACAAGTTTAAATTAAAGTAACACACTTAAATATTTATACAAAATTATATTTTTTATTTATTACACTACGTTTATTACGAGATTTTTAAATTTTTTTGGAGGTAAATTTTATCTCTTTGTTATTTTAGGTAGTTCAATATGAACTCTTGATAATTCTGTTGAAAATCGGCAACTATTAAATACAATATAAAATCTGGAGCTTCCAGAGTTATTTCGAGATGTTTATTTTATTTATAATAAAATTATAACAGATATCTGACAATGAACCTATTTATGTTAGTTGTAATGACAACACCATTAAACATGGTTCATAATTCATTAATAGTTGTTTCTGTACATCATAAACGAGTAATAGAAGTTATTTATTTTCGAATAAATTCATGACAGTAATTTTCAGTAGTACTCATTCCTTATTAAAATAAAATTTTAGTCGTGCAATGTTATTTGGATATTTTTTGGAAATAAATGTTTTAGAATTATTGTTTCAAGTATAATCAACACAAATATGGTGTATTATTTTAACAGGTAAATTTAAATAAAATGTACAAACAAATTTCAGGAGTACATCGTAAGTTTACAATGTGTTTAAATTTTAAAACGAGGTGTTTTAAAATTTAAACACAATGGTTTTAAATTTACAAAGAATTGCAGTGGAAATGTTAACTTTTTTTCGAAAAATATCAATCAAAATCAAATTAAAGGTCTACAAAAACCGCTAAATTTGACAAATAAGCACCAAATTATGTACAATTATTTTTAAATTATTCAAAAATAGTTTTAAAAAAATTGTTCATTTTTTATAATAATTTAATTGTTTAAATTTGAAGCTATATTTTAAATAGTAAAATAGCTGTAGCTCTGTGTAGTTTAAGAATAAAACAAAAAAATATGCATATTTTTTTAAATTCTCAGCTTGGTAGTAAATTTTTCATTCATTGTTTATGCAAACAATAAAAATATAATTTTTAGTTTAACTGACAAATACACTGTGAGTGTAAGAGCGGTACCTTTAAAAAAGTCATGTTAAGATAAAGGGCTTCAAAGTATTGATCTTCCATAAGAGTTACGTTGTATGTTACTTTATTTATAGCATTTATATTTAGTATTTGTCAAATTTTATATAAGTTGTTAGCATATCTAGGTAAAAAATAATAAACTATATTGAATTATATCAAACATCGCCAATTTTGATAATATGTAATAATATTACAATAATAAAGTAATAATATTAAATATTTATACGTCAATAATAATACTTTTTACAGTAAGCAGTGCGGTGATAATATGGCAGATGAACTACTGTCTCTAAAACACACTGTAGCAACTCCTCAATCTTCTGCCGAACAACACCATCTTCAACAGCAACCAGACCAAGGATACACTTTATCGACCAACAACGTAAGATATTTTTATTTTATTTGTTTTTAGTTATTAAATTGTTATTAATTGTACAACTAGCTACTAAAAATTTAGTTATTAATTGTGAATCATTTTTAATTTTTCAATATTTAATTATTAGAGTAAATTATTCACATTTAAATAAATTAATTGACAAAAAGAAATTCAAACATTTTGTGACAAAATTTAAACGTCAAAATAATTGGTTCAATTGTTGAAAAAATAACTTTAGACGAGTTTTAATTCGAGCTCGGCCATAGGCGCGAACTAAGTGGATCTCAAAGGGTCTTAAACCCTCTAATAATACCGCAATTCCCCAAAGAATTATAAAAATTATATGGAAATATTTTTAAGGATCAGGTGTTAATTAAATACAAATAGATAACCCACTTTACTTGGGTGTAAGTATCTGTTGGATAACGTTTGTATAAGGCTATTTTCCAAATAGCTGTTTTATTGGTTGAAAAAAACTATAGGCCAATCAAAATTCGCAACATGAACACGATCTAGTAGTTGGCCTTATTGGGGTCCAAAACTGCGTTGCCGAAAGTTCCTATGGTGTGGTCTACCTGTTTGTATTTAATCAATGGAGGGGAGAATTTAAGTGAAATACCCATAACATGGTCAAATTGCACCTATAGGTTCAACTTTATAATTACTCAGTGACAGTACGACAGAGTAAACTTTGAGACGTCGCATTCCCAATAATTATGCATATTAAAAAGTTTTTTTAGGTATATTTATAATTATTCGTACTATATATTTGTACATTTAATTTCTAAAATGTTTTTTTCACTGTTACATATTTGCTTACTATATACAAAAATTAATGTATTGGCAATCTAATCTATTTTTGGAATAAGCGATAAAAAAGGATGACCGATAGCAATGTTATGATACGTTGTATAATTTTCATTTGGTCGGGAAACGTTTGAACGTCAGTCTCAATGCTAATAGATAAGCGGTAAATATTGAATTTGAAGAACTGGTTACATCGGTTATGGTGTTTTATAAGGGATTTCCTGACTGCTATTTATTATTTGTTAATCGGTGCGGTGTATTTTAAATTAGAGATTATTAATTTAATCATTTTTTGTTAGAAAAATAACTAGAGTTAATTTTATTATTTTACTCATCATCAATTAAAAAACAATAAGCCTACTCCATATTTAACATAAGCATGGGCGTATTTAAAAATGAGGATAGGCTTAAAATAAATTTCGACTAAAAACCCACCATAAAAACTTTTATGACCATTTTTTACTCAGTTTTAGAGCAAAAAATAAAACATAAGTGTTTACATTTACATAACACCTGATTATAATGATGATTTTTAAGTAAAGGAAGTATATTTAAAGAAATTGTTATTATCCCATCTAAATTTATAACACGTGATATTTTTCGTATGGAGAAGGGGTTTGGTCCTTATCATCCTCTTAAGTATAATCAATCAATAGAATAAAAAAAAGTTGAGTATTTTCATAAATAATACCCACGCCCCACTACTGTAATTATCTATTTTATAAAACTTATTGCATCAAAATATTTTATAGCTAGATCTCGTTTCAATTATCTAATAATTATAAAAAAGCATGTACAAATATTATATATTTCAAAAAAAATTAAAACAATATAAACTAAACATAATAGATTTGTTGATAAGAAAAATGTTTAAGTTTAAATAAAGTTTAACTTTAGAGTAATTGTTAACAATTATTAAATGTTCAATAATCATTAAGCATTTTTTACACACTATAAACCAAAAACATTTTATTAGTACTACTTAATAGTAATACTATAATGTTACAATATAGTACAGTAATTAGACTTAATTAATATTCATAATCATAGTAGCAATTTATTTTACTTGTTAGTATTTATGATCTGATTAAGATATGATCTTACTGATAAAAACAAGTGAAATTTTTAAAGAAATAATTTAGATGCAAAGTAAATATTTATCAGTTTCTTGATTAAATACTGATTACACATTAAAATTCGTTTTCAATAAAATAATAAATAAATATAAAATATTCCAATAAAAATTTAATTATGTAAAGACAATGTGACTATTTCGCATTTGCATTTTATAATAACACTCCTTTAATATTTCCTCATTCCAAACACTTGTCTATCTATTATTATAGGACGATTCTCCTCCTCTTGTCGACTATGATAGTACAGTATCTCCTTACGGCGATCAGGGCTGTTGGACAACATTGGGAAGTCATCAACAACTACAAGAACAACTTCCTCAGCAACAATATCAAAGTATGAGCGTCAACGTAAGCATGAATATGACAATGCACGGATACCCTCCTATACATGGCGACGCCCAATTTGGTTGTCAATCAGTAAGTAGACTCGTGAAGTAGTTTTAATTTTCTTGAGCAGACAATCATTTCAAAAAACCTAAGGCTAAAGAAAATTAGCGGGATTAGTTTGAAATAAATAAAATACAATTACAAATAATTTCTCAAAAACTAATTGTTTAATTACAGATGGGTTGGGCACTACCGACTTCACCTTCGCCTGTTCACTTCCACGGTCAAACACATCACCAAGGGTTACTCAGCCCTTTGGTGCCGATGAGCTCTAATTATCCTGCCGGAGCTGCATATTCTTTTACGGCCGATTTCCGACACCAAGATCTTCCACCGCCGCCATACGCGTGCAACATCGACGACATGATCGATTGCAAGGAAAGGAAGCCCACAGAACTGGTCATGTCACTCGGAACTGGCGAATGCGGTACTATTGCGGGAGGCGGTTCGATATCGGGAGAAGAAGGATGTCGACCGAATTTGTGTCGAATATGTGGTAAAACGTATGCGCGACCTAGCACGTTGAAGACACACTTGCGAACGCACTCCGGGGAAAAACCGTACCGGTGCGATGACTGCAATAAATCGTTTAGCCAAGCGGCCAACCTAACGGCGCACGTCCGCACACATTCCGGTGAAAAGCCGTTCCGATGTCAAATTTGTGATCGCCGGTTCTCGCAGTCTTCATCGGTCACCACTCACATGCGCACTCATTCGGGCGAACGGCCGTACCGTTGCCGACTGTGCAAGAAAGCGTTCAGCGACTCATCAACGTTGACCAAACACCTGAGGATACACTCCGGTGAAAAACCGTACCAATGCAAGTTGTGCTTGTTGCGGTTTTCGCAGTCTGGAAACTTGAATAGGCACATGCGGGTCCACAGCGGTATGAATGGCGCCGACATACTTTTGCCCGTATGACGGTGGCGGACTGCCGGTCACCATCGTCAGTACAACGAAGCGTTACCTATGCACCACCACAATAACCTTAATTATTTTTGGTATTCTACGGATAATATCAAAACTGAACAAATTAAAAAAATTGAAAACGTTACAAATTTAGGTTATTGAAAAAACCTATTAACATCTAAACAATTATGATCATAATTATAATTGCTCATATGAAAACTGTCGACGTACATTTTAGTGTTATATGTTCAGTAGTAATTATAAGAACTCACGATATACTTAAAGTAACATTCTCATTATAATTTTTGTGTAACGGCTAATCACTAATTTACTAATTCAGTAGTCTAACGTTTGTTGACTGAAAAAGTAATGATTAATAATGATTTTTCAACATTAAAATTGTTATGGTGAAAAATAAGAAAAAAAAAGTAAATATCGAATATGTTCATTAAATTTTAAAAAATGTACATCTTATCTTTTAAATATTAAACAACTTTGTCGGCATCTATCCACGCACAGATTATGTCTAATGCGTCTTAGTAATGTTTTTTTTAATTTACCACTGAAAAATAAAATTTGATAAGAGATAAAGATCTCTTACTCTCATTTGAGTATAATTTTTTAGTACTTTAGTGAACTTATATGTAAAATTTCATAATTAAACTATTTCATTTTTGCTTAGTCGTTATCACATCAAGATGTTTCAGCACTAGTATATCTTGTTTATATATTAAGGTAAAGCTCTCGAAGTTATTGTTAAATAATAGCGCTTAAATAAAAGTAACTACTGTTTACTTATCGATAGTCAACTAAAATACAAGTAATAAATTGAATGAATCAAAATTTAGTAAAAACAAGTCTGATCAGTCTATTAAAAGTATATAAACTTTGTTTACAATACAATTTTAATAATAAGGGTTTAATATTACAGTCGAAAAATCATATAATAAATTGTTTACTCTATTTATGACAAATTCATTTTACTTGTTGGAAATTGAGTTGTAAATACATAAACATTCTATATTTCTGTTAAAATAATACTTTAAAATAACTTACCTTAGTATTTCAATAATTACTATGCACTAAAATATCGGAGTGTAATTCATATACATCACAAAGATAATTCAAATAAGAGTTTTAAATTTCACATAAGAAAATTGTATTTTTCTTATAATCAATGACTGACACCACTAAGCACTGCACATATAAAACACATTTTTCACTATTATAATTATAATTATGTATATATGCACATATTTTTAAAAATAAAACGCATTTTGTTCCTTTTTTGTTAACAAATTTATAGTGGCGTATTTAGGGGAGTGTCAACAGCAACCCCTTGAATATATGCGATGTTTCATTATGATATTTTTTTGTTGTTATATGTATATTTTCAAATGATGAGAAAAAAACAGAAATTTACCTGTTAAACTCGATTATTATTATTAATCCTGTGTACGCCATATAAATATAATCAATATATATATATAATATATTATTTACAATTCAGTGGCACAACTAAAGCTTAAATCTCGAGCACATCACTAATTTTTTAGTAATTAATTTCCAAATTAAGTTTATGAACAAAAAAATCTTTTTAATTTACTAAAAACATTTAAAAAATGAAATACTTTGGGTCGATGTCGTCTTTATGTTTAAGAAGAACATTATGAAATGATATAAGAAAAATTCCTTCTTGATAATATTTTTAGATATTTCTGTTAAAACTGTTTCGTAAATCACAGTGAATACTTGGAGGTTTTTAAAGTTAAGTTACAGATAATAATACTCTCTACACACAATTGTAGTTATGCCGATGTTACAATTTACCTTCACTTAAAATGAATCAACATTAATATTGTTCTTAAACAGCTGGTTTTAATTTTTTTCCTAATGAAATGTTTGATTTAATGAATAAAAAACTATCGATATAAGTTAACAATAAATCTGTTTATATACATATATTTATTTTGTGCAATACCGAATGAATTGTTGAAAATAGGCACACTGTGTTATAATTTTAAGACTTTTAAATAGTACACATTTTAATGTGTTATTAATACTAAGAAAATGAACTCAACTCTTTCTAAAATTATTGTTGCATTTTTTTTCAATGTATTTCTGTAAACAACCTAAATACTTACATTTTGTTCATTTTATTGTTTATGTGAAATGTGTATTCTCAATCTAGTCAATATTTTTAATGTAAAATGGAATCTTAGAATTATTAAATGTAAGTATAATAAATAGATATATATATATACATATGAACAATTGAATTACAAGAATTTTTTTAATTACTCTTTTTACGAAAATAACATTACTTAAGTCAGTGTTTTTCTTTTGTTAGTTACATATGTATCTTCATTTTATGTTATAAAATATTTTTTATATTTAACCTTTATGTCATAAGGAGTGTCAACTTAATTTTTTTAAATGGCAGCATATATATTTTACTAGCTTATAAAAATCTAATCAAGAAAATGACTGGTCGATAACAACTTAAACGCCTTCGTACAAAAACTGTCTTATATAAATTTTTTCTCCTAGTAAAACAGTACCGAGTGGAAATTGTTTTTACAGTAATGCCATCTTACTTATACTGATATATAGTATTTGATTTAGATAAATGATTAAAGGGGAGGGGCGAGCAAACGCCCCGAGGTCCATCTCAAATTTTACTATCATAATTATAATTAGTGATAGATTTTCTTTGCTCATCACTTTAAGGAAGTACTATTTTTCATAGTATTATCTAGAAGTACCACCTCGGGGCCCTTATAAGTCTTAATACGGTCCTGAAAACATTGAGTAGTATCTAGGCTTAATGTGTATGTTAGTAGTTATTAATCGACATACATAAGCAACTAAACAGCAATAATAAATTAACTTCTTTTTTAAAATTAAAATGTTCGAAATAGAAATTCACTCAGGTACGTGTTAAGGAGGGAACAAATGTCTAAGGACGTCGAAAAAATATGAATACATTTACATATCGCATAAAACGTATTTTTTTAGAAAATATTAAATAAGGGTGCCTAATATATGATTGAACTAGGACGCCAAAGACAGTATAGCCTGATTTCATTACATTATAGTGCAGGTAATTAATTAAAATCGTATTGACCATGTATTTTCTTTTATAAATGCAAAATAATTATACATGGTTTATTTGACTAAATTTATCAAAATTTTCAATCACCATGGACATGTATAACAAATACAACAGACCTAATAACATAAACGTTCCAGAATTAAATGTTTTAATATATTGATTTTCCATGATAATGAAAAATGTTAAAAAAAAGAAATAGTCACATTTTGGCAATTTATATAGTATATAAATTTAAATAACTATTCTGAAATTAGGTTTATAAGTTAGTAAATTCTACTAAGTATACGCAGCAAGAAATAAATAACACAGTAATATTTATTGATCCATGCAACACTAATATATATATATATTGTAATTTCTCAAATAAAATATTAAATGTTACATTTTTTTTTATCTTTACAATTTCTAAAAAAGAATAGTTCAATTGCATTTGATAAATTTTTTGTTTCTTTTAAATATATGTACAAATTTGAATTAAAAAATTTGGGCCCAGCCAAAATTACTTGACCTATTTTTTACTTAACAGAAATATATAAAGTATAGTAATATTTTATTAAATCATAAAAATATTAAACAATTTAAGAATTACATCACCTTTCGTTTTCTTAAAATTAAAACAAAATTTGTCTTATTAAAAAATGTTTTATGTACGATGATACATGTGACAATAAGCATAAGATATTTACTGTATTATCTTTAATAAAAGATAGTATTAATTAATGTTTTCACACATTATAGTTTATTTTTTAAACTATTTTTTACAACTTTGACTTAAAATTAAATTTAATTACAACACAAAAAATATAACTAAACATGTAGTTTAATTCTTAAAATGATACTTATTAAACTTAAAAAGGATTTTTGAAATTTATTATCATTATATTCAAAACATGAAAATTTCATACAAGAATATAGTTTGAATTATGTACTTTCGGTGTATTACATAAGATTATGATTAATATTTCTATGTATATATAAATATAAATCAAATTAACATAGTAATAAATATACATACTAATATATCTCCATATTAACATGTACGTTTTTTAGTGTTTTTTTTTATGTAAGCAAAAAATTCAGTCATACTTTTATTTTTGATACACATACAGAAATAAAGAGAAAACATTAAAAAAATACTTGCTTATGCCCCCACCCTGCCTACATATGTGTTAAACATAAATTGTAAAATTTTATTATCTCAATTAAAATAATAGTATACAAGTTAAACACACTAAACAGTTAAGTTCTAAATGTAATAGTTGCTATTAATTAATGTGATGTTGCTATTTACAAATAAAATAATTAAATATATTCTGGTTTTATTAAAACAAAATATAGAATCATGTGTTTACAAAAACCCAATCTTCCCCCATTCAATACTTAAAAATGTATTCCTGCAAAGTTGTATTATAACAACATAACTTCAAATATAAATCAAATAAAATAAAAAATTATTATGTACAGTCATTTTTACACAATAAATAGTATATCCTCAATCCAAATTTTTAACAATACAATTTTTCATTTTATAAATTAAATAATTATTAAGTCGAAGATTGCACATAGTTATCAAAATAATTATTGAAACAGTTAAATCTGAACTTTATCTTAAAGAATTTATAAAATTGGTCATAAAACTTATTATTTTTGAGCATATAATAACTCAAGGCGTCCAATTGCGCGACTTATTTATAAATATCCATAATGAATGGTATATTTAATCAAATAATCATTTTGGATAATTTAAAAATAAAAACAATCACAAAAAACACGACAGTTTCTCGCGATTAGCTAATATTTATTTTCATAGACCAGTCATAGTTTTATCAATTTGAATATTAAAGGCAGAGGGGTATACTCCTTTCATACAACAGGCCTATATGTCAGGGATGGACTACTTTGGCTCACATTATTTGTACCGTCGCGATCATTTTGTCCAGAAGCATATGGAAGCTGGGTGTTAACAAACTAAAAAAAAATATAAATAATATAAAATATAAAGGATCAAATAAAAACACAAAACTCCCGAAGCGTGTCGACAATAATGTAAAAGCATCCACAAAGTGCTCCCACTTGAGACACAGCAGTAGGTCGAATAATTATTTAAATTTACTAAAACAGATGACCCATTATTCCTAGGACGCCTTGAGAAGTTAATTATGATACAACATTAGCAGAAATAAATAATTTTAAAGTACATCATCTTACCACGCCCTTATTATGATTGCAACACATATAACAAGCTACAAATTGCAGATCATAAAACTTCTTATTCAATGTAATGAATTTAAAAATTAAAATTAATTAGAGGCTTATTTATTAAGTTTGTCAAAGAAGTCCTATTAAAAGAAATTTAAATTAAAAAATAATATAACACATAAATATTTTGTAATATTCAGTTAAGAATTAAAAAAAAAATTATTTAAGTAATTACTAGTTTATGAAATACAACTAAAATTGTTTTGAAAGAATATAATTTTAAAATTTCATTGATTTTTTAAAGAGAAGTGTGCTTGTTATATAAAAAAATGTAATATTTATTTCAAATTATGATACAAAAAGCATTTTAATCATAAAAAATATCACTATGGATTAATTTTACTTGTTAAGGCAATCCCTTTAATAAATAACAGGCATAGCAACACAATCACAATATTAGTAAAGCAATATAAGTACAAATAGCAACATCAACATAATTATTTTGTAATTTGATTAAGCCAAAACGTAAATGTCGAATAAAAAAAAATATTTGAGCGAGGATATTGTAGATATTGCATAAAAAAATATACTATTATAAGTTATTATACAGTGTTATAACAGTAAATCAATGACTTTTTGGCATTGTGATTAAGCAGTGAATTAGCTCATTAAATTATTGTTAAATCATTGAAAACTAAGAATATATTTAAATATATTGACAATGTAATGTTAAGTGCAGCAAAATAAATATATTAAAATCTCAAATATGAATTTAAAAAAATATATACACAACCCAAAATGTAAACACAGGTTTATAAAAATTAATTGAAATGAATTTATATGTTAATTCACTGCTTGTGTAATTATTTTTTTTTTACATACAATATATAAGATTTTATATTATTTTAACTTATAGAGATAAAGTAACTGTAAAATAATTCTAGTAGGCTGGATAAATGGGAGACTACACTCATTTTCTTTTTTGTTACAAAGGAATTAGAGATGATGGGTATATTGTGCTCAAGGCACTGAATCAGCCCCGCTACTGACAGACGGCAAAGTACTCACTAAAGAATGTGGGAGAACAGATGCAGGTGGTGCCGATTGTGAGCTTGGTGGAGCTTGTTGGGGAGGTTGTGCTGCAGTTGAGCCAGAACCAGGCACATTATCATGTGCAGTTGTAGAATGGGCTTGTTGTACTGGTAAAGCACCAGCGCCGGCTCCTGCATAATATCTAAAGACAAATTTTTTATATTAATTTTATAAAATTAAAATACTTATAATATTTTTCACTAACCCTCCATTCATAGCATCAGGATTTGCTACAGCAGCAGCTGCTGCAGCTACAGCGGCTGCAGATGCCACACTAGCAACCGAAGCTTGGTGAGGATACGTTGTTGGAGCAGGAAAATATTCTTTATTGACACAATTACGTAAACATTCAGGTATACGACCAACAATTGCACGACGTATTTCACTAGCAGCCATTTCACGTAATTCTGTGCAACTTGCATCAGAGTAGAATGCAGCATGTGGAGTACATAATAAATTAGGAGAGTCTTTTAATGGCCCTAAAAGTTCATTTTTATGGTCATAATAAATGTATTTTCTGTTTAGTATAAAAACAGTAATGATTTTTTATAATTACCTTGAAGTACGTTAAATGGTTCATTTTCATGAACATCTAAAGCGGCAGCTCTAATGCGACCTTGTTTTAACGCTGTGGCAAGAGCATCATCATCAACCAAACCACCTCGAGCAGTGTTAACAAGAAAAGCACCTAACAATAAAAAATTAATAAAATAATAATTATGAAAAAAGGGGAAATTTAAATTACCTGGCCTCATTTGTTTAATAGTGAACTCATTTATAAGGTGATGATTATGTTCATTCAAAGTACAATGCAACGATACACAGTCAGATTGAAACAGCAAATCCTAAATTAGTATGTTTATTTTAACTTATAAATCAATATACTAAAATTATTTCAACTATATCAATCAATATGTCTAATAGATAATTTTTTATTTGAACTATAGAGTGAGTAATACAAATGTACTCAAATATAATATATTATGAATTTTTGAATTAAAAATTAAAATTTTTTAGGACTAAGTAGTTGAAGCATTAAAACGTAAATGTGATAATGTAGACTTATTATTTTATAACAACATTTTCAATTAACTTACTTGTAGTGTGTAAACTCTAGTTAATCCTAAAGATTTCTCAATTCCATCAGGTAAATAAGGATCATAAAATATAACATTAAATCCAAAAGCCTTTGCCCTTAATGCAACTGCTGATCCAATACGGCCTAATAACAAATATATAATAAAGTAACTTAGATATGTGTAATTTATTATAAAGCAATACAAGTCTATAAAATTAGATAGCTACTGTATTAAATTAAATTTGAACTTAAGTATTTTATTTCATCCCTCAGGGTAAGTATTTTATACAACAGGTAAAGCAAACCAAAGGCTCTGGGCTTGCTACTGGTAAAAAGTCCCAGACGGATGATTCCAGTAGGTAATGGCATAGCGAAGGTGATGTTGCCTGATGTTCATCATCACAAAAGTCATAATGCTTGGCAGAAGCTGTGTTATTAGGTGACCAAGCCGGTAGTCAGTAAAATGAACACTGGCAAGGCAAACCATACTTACAAGATGGGATACCCATCTTGTAATACTGAGACATGAAAAGGAGAGGTACCCTACCTACCATAACAAACATTCCCATGAAAACCAAATATGCAAGTGAACTTAATATATACACTTGCTTAAACAGTAACGACGTTCAAAATCAAACTAGCAATAAGAAAAATTTTATTTCAAGTAAATTTAAGTTAACTTTATTAAAACTTGAGTATAATTTTATAAAACTAAAAATACTTATAACTTTAAATGTTGTAAATAGAACTTATCGATATTCATAGGGTGAAGTGGAGTAATTGTGAAAAATTGGAATAATTGTAAATACATTTTTTTTGGATAAAAGCACAATTTTTTTTATTTTGAACTTGCATTTAATAATTTTATACATAACAACACATATAAGGACCAGAAGTTTTTAATCTAGAAATAAAATCTGCTAAACATTTTAAGGGAAAAATGAATTTACAATTACTCTATTTGTTTACATTCACTCCATTTCACCTTATTAGTTTTTAATCAAACATTACCTAAGCCAACAATTCCTAATGTATCACCACGGATACGAGCACAACCTTGAGCAGCTTCACGAACTTGCTCTGGACCTGTAAATTTTTTGCCTTCTCTGACCATTTGAGCTAGCCAGTATGTTCTACGATAAAGGTTTAGTATCAAACATAATGTGGTGTCAGCAACTTCTTCTACACCATATCCAGGGACATTACACACTGCAATACCTAATTCTCCAGCAGCCTAAATAAATGTATCAATAAATATAATTATGTACAAAGAAAAAGTAAATAACTATATAGTTTATTGACTGACTTTAACATCAATGTTATCAACTCCACTTCCTATCCGTACAATAATTCTTAGAGTTTTAAATTTTTCTAAATCTTCTTTTGTTAAAACAATAGTGTGCCACATTAAAGCACCAACAGCTTCATTTAAAACCTTTAAAAAAAAAGAAATTAGTTTTTAAAATGTGATTTTATAAATTAAAAACTACCACATACTTTTTCATGGATTTCAGAAGTAGATTGAGCATCACAAAATGCAACTGTTGCTACATCTTTCAATATAGGCATTTCTATTGAACAGTCCCTACCATCCAATAAAGCAACCAATGGTCGCGTTTGTATCGGGCCATTAGTAATGGGACCAGCTCCAGATCCTCCACCACGGATAGATGTTTCAAGTCTAGTTCTTTTTGTAATCATTTTCCGTTTGTCCATTACTGGACTACCAACACGTTTGTTTAATCCTTGCGTCTTGACTGTTTTTATAACACAGGCGTTTCTAAGACATCCAAATCATACCTGTCAGTGACTGGGGGAGGGAAGCCTGTAACAATAAATTTCAAACTTTAGTACTTTAACATAAATTGAAATACATCCAGATAAGCGCTTAAATAATACACAAGTAACAATATTTGTATAAAGATTAAAACTGAAAGTTTTTTCGTCGTATAATTCATAAACTTTCAGGGAAGGTTTCTTTTAATTTAGAAACTTTTTTCGAGTCCAGAAGTAGAAAACGAGAGAAAAAAATTACAAAACTTTATTTGTCGATATCTGGCCGATCTAAAAAGCTATAATGTACTTAAAAGTTTGTTTAAAAGCTTGCAAGATCCGGACCAAACTTAAACGGAAAAAGAAAGTTTTCTTTTATTTCATATTACATTACATGAGGTCAATGAAGAAGGCAAACGGGAAAACGCCAAACCGTCTAACACAACATTTTGCCATATAATAGATAGATCTCTTTTAACCGTTTTCAAAAAATTCAATATATGGTAATTATTAAAAAAAAACCAAGTAGAACATTGTTGTCGAAAAAAATTGAGACTCACACACGTTTGGTATATCTTTCCGTAACATACCATAGTATCTTTGTGACATTTAAAAGATTATAAAAATATATATATTGTATTATATATATATATTCATAATACAATAATAATTTACTATTTTTACTAAATAGGTAAATAAATAAAATTTTGATCGTTGCTAACTTGAATTTTGTAAAATCACGACTGTTTCACAATAACAATAATAACTTGCGAAGTAACAATTCATCGTTTGTCTATACTAACAGAAAAAAGAACTTTCATTACATTTGAGCTCTATAAAAATATGATTATCTCGCCCCAATTATATTGTGTAAATCCCATAATCTTACAATAAGCAAATAATTATAACTCTTCTTTTTTTTTAAATGAAATTGTTGAAGTATTTTTTTAACTTGAATCGTTTTTGCAATATAATTCATTTTATTTGTTGAATGATTGAATGATTAACTGCATGCATGATTTATAGACCTTTACTAAATACATCATTTATTTAATCCAAGGATACACCTAAATCAACAAAAGGAATGAAAAACGCCTTTATTATTGTGTAAACATTAATACTGCTGAAGGATCAATGTAAATAAAGCGAACTATCATGATATTTGTATAAGTTTTAACTAATAACAAAACTCACAAAAGAACGTGTCATTTGTTGAAGAAACACTTCCAGAACGAAACTTAAAAACTAAATGATAACTTGACTATTTGCCAATCGACGATTTGATTACAGACATAAAGTTGAAGAAACTACTCGAAGAAAATATTTACTAAGAAAAGTATTCTTTTATAGATGTAAATTTTTTTGGTTGATGATATTCTTGAAACAATAAGAAATTCTAAAAAAAAATGACAGAAATGCTAAACCTTAAGCATAGTCTGCAAATGTATTTCATGGAAGAAACCGTTAACGTACGAATAAAAAGGATAAGTGGTAGATAAAATGAAAAATACATATGAGGGCTGAGAAAAAACGTCATAAAAATAATTTCTTTGCGTCTTTCCTCTTAGTCTGCAGCACACAAGTTACTATTTCGGTAGACGGTACACAGCCGGAAGGGAAAACTTATTTTTAAAGCACTTTAAAAGCTTAAGAACGGCGGATTCGAAGCGGGGATATTACAAATAATATAAATTAGTTTCACCAACAAAGTTATACAAAACAAGCATGGGGCAAGTTATTTGGACAAAGCTCAGTGGATGCCGAAAAGTTTTCGACGCGCGCGCGTGCATAGGAAAAGTTGATCGGAATGAACTTTGGCACAACTAACTATACAGCCAACGTCGCAAAGTTAACGGCAGGTTAACTTCTCGTCCCAGTCCGATTTTGTAGTTAAAAGTTTACTCGGAAAAAAAAAATCAAATATGAAACAAAAGGGGGCAAAGAGGCAACTGCAAGACGCGACGCGTTTCACAGTAAAATATGCCGAAAGTGTAAGAGTTGGACGGAGGTGAGTGGAAAATAAGTTTAAATAAAGTGAGAGTCCGGTCTTAAATAAAACTCCCAAGTTTAGCGGGCGATGGAGATGGTTCTCTGAAAGTTTTACGCTTTTCTATATTTTATGAGCCTCTTATTACTGGTAAAACTTCTATATGAAAAGTTAACTCGTAACCCCTTGGCCAGCACCGAGTAACCGACCGTGCACACGCAATTCGATGTTCATCGTCAACTTTGATATTAAATACAATTAAACAGTGTTCAAGTGTTCTAGGACATACTAAGTTTTTTTGTAAAAGTTGTAAACACAAGAGTATTAATAGTGAATGACATTTTTACCCGTCACCTACAAAATAAAACATGTATATCTCTTAAAAATATTTTTCATGGCAAATCTGAATAAAAACAAATGACGTTAAAAAAATACTTGTTCATTTTTTATCCATTTAGTGTTTACTCAGGAAACTTACGAACTAAAATATTATATGATTTACAATTTAAAGTAACAAATAAAACATGTTACGACTAAGTACGTTGAAACAGCATTACACTTTCAAAGCCGTTAAAGTAGAGAAGATAACTGCAATCGTTAGTATAATATAAATTAGTTGATATCAATACGTGGAATCTGAAATTTTACGGGCAACTGATTTCAAGCACATCCACACACACAATCGGTAACCATTCGGAATTAACCCACAGTTTGACGGTTACACGGCGAGGAGAAAGATTTATTTTTTTTTTACTTTTAACAGTCACGACTCGCCGTTCAAATATCTAATAACCGTTGGGCGTTGACCTCTTAGTTTTTTTTCCATCAACGACAGGTTCAAAGGGTACGTGACCAATCTTCTTCGATTGATTTTTACTACGGTTAGACCTAACGCGTCAACCTTATGAAATAAAATGAAAATATTTTAATTGTATTTTATATTATTAGTTTTTGCGAAACATGTATTACACGTTTTAACATTGATGAAATACAATTTTTAGAAAAAAGTATAATTAATTAAATAAGAAACTATTATTAAGTAATTATTCTAAAACGAGTTAAAAATAACCAAATATGCACAAGAAGTGTTTAATAACCCCAATATACAAATTTACGTTTCTGTTTTTTGACATTATTGTTAACAAATAAGACAGTCGAGTTAAAACAGAGGTACATTACAGGAATAAGTTTCTGCGTGAAGAATGTTGAATATCTGACAATAGACTTTGCGTTGTTTACAAACGGCAAAAAACATGTACAAACGTTAAGGCTGCAGAGGGCAAAATAAACGGCCATCGTTCGTCCGTGATACTTAATCCCCTGTTGTGTACAGTCAACGAAATCGTTATATTATCTGCAACGTTGCTCTACGGTTTTTCTCACATCCTTCAGTGTATTCGTATTGTTTTTTTAGCATAGATCAATACGGGTCCAAAGCGACAAAATGGTTTTATTTTTAAATAAACGCCAACAAATGACATATAATATTTCTGTGCCGGGAAATCTTACCGGAATACACTGTTTTCTTCTACAAAACAATTTGTAATTTAAATGATCTCGCCTGAACAAGACCAAATTTAAATAACAATGTTTTACACAACAGAGCTGCCACGTTAATGCTAAGCATAGCAACAATAACGCCGGATCATCACGAACGTGTATATACTTAATGGGCAATAATAATACGTGTTGATAAATGCATTTTTAACATTGTACCGCTGGGTACAGGCAATGGTATTCGTATTAAAACACAAGCGATAAGTACACTTCGAGTCATCAAAAACACACAATCAAAACTGTAATTATTAACGCTGTTGTATAATTCTTAGCCGTAAAAAAAATTTTCATCACATTAAAAAATACACACATTCCGAATCAATCATCTTATACGCACACATAAATATTAATGAAATTAAGTATTACGATTAAGATAAAGCAATTTTAATTACAAAAACCGGTAGCTTAGACTATTTGAACCATAATAGACATTTATTGATAAAAATTCATATTTTTCTCTTCACAGTCAATCAATTACTATCAATAAAATAATAACTAGTAATTAAAAAAAATGATCAATAAAAGTAATACGTGTTTATTTAATAAATGACTATTTAATTTAAGTCAAGTTATAATAATTTCAAACGTTTATATTCACATTATATAATTTACAATTATTAAGGAGAGGAGTTAATTGTTAACTCAATAAAAAGTATATTACTACTATGCTGTCATTCTAAGAGTGTCATAATTTTTTTATTCCCGATTAGTCACGTTATACAATAAACTATACGACGTTAATACACGAGAAAAACTATTTTTTTTTCAACAGTAATTTTGATCAAGTCCATAATCTCATTAGTATATTTATTAAATCATTGTCTCAAGGACCATTAAGAATAACAATGTAAATTGAACTTGGAAATTCGATAACGCTTAAAAGAAAACACTGACCGCTAACAGTAAACGCAACAGTAATAACGATGGAGGGGGCGAGGGAGGCGTTTATTGGGAAACGTAGCCCTCCTCACTAGTTGGACGGCACGCGAAGCGTGCGATGAATGTTCGCCACGGAGGACACCGGTGAGGATTAGAGAGGGGAGAGACTACGGCAGCGGCAAACGGTAATAGCGCCATCGATTTTTCCCGAATCGAGCTGATGCTCTATAACCGACTACCGCCACTTCCACCGACCAACCTGCTACCGACGAATCTACACCGCATCACCCCCTTGACCATCACTACGATCACCGGCGCATCACACGATGAAATACCACGTCGGACTTTCCCGCGCACACAATGACGACCAGACGCCGACAGCAATAATAATAATAATAACGGCAAAATCCCGCGTGTCTTCGACTCTGAACGCTATTTAACCGTTGCTACCCTCTGTATTCGGCGTTTCGTTTAGTAGTGTGTATGCGACAGCAGTGACTTAATGACTCCGTTCTCTGTTTTGCCATTAACGAACTTGTTTAAACAATAACTATAAACAAGACTATTCTAACAAGTCGGCTCACATACACGTTTAATTAGTTATACGATTTCCATCTTTCAATGTTTTA